CAATGAAGTCACAAAGATAATCTTCAGAGTTCTTCGATGACCGAATGAAAGCGGCCCCTATAAATATTAGAGTCATCGATTCCACTATTAATATGCACTTCTCTATTTTGACAGGAGGTTAACGAAAGGTTTCTTGCGCAAAGTCGCAAAGTGCCACTGACTTTTTTGGTCAATGGTACGTTGCGTAGGCACAAACAAATCCTCATGTATGTAGCATAGCATCTACCAGTTCTTCTGTGAGGTTTTGACAGTCCTTGGAGATCCAAGCATAGCACTGAGCACGAGAAGGTGTGCCATAAATCTAGCCAGGACAACAGGAGCAAAACAAAACAAATCTATCCAACGAAATGCAGCTTTTGACCGCCCCAACAGAGAGGAGACTGACCCAATCTCACAGAATGGTGTCTTCTGCGAAGAGAGTGCCTCACAAGGCGAAACCAACCATTGGCAGAAAGCGCGTGAGATTCGAAGAACAACGAAACAAGATCATTGCCAAGGACCAAGGAACGTCCCTTGAAGATGCTTGGTACAACCATAAAGAATATCGCAGCTTCCAGATGGACGCACGAAGAACGGTCCTCGCTTTTGTAAAGACGGGGACGGATCCCGCCCTTGTGGATCCTTCTCAGTTCTGTTTGCGCGGGCTTGAAAAACACCAGATTCCATCAAAGGCCCGAGCACTGTACAAATCTCAAAATCGACACTTTATCCGGCTGATTGTTTGTGAGCACGTTCGCTTGCAGAAACAAGGCAGCCAGGACGTAGATGGGCAACTGCAGGCAATGTCGTCCATGTATACTGTCCCGGCAAAGGCATACGCTATGCACTTGGCCACCCACACATACTAAACGAATCCGGCAGAAACAAATTTTGGGACTGTTGGGTTTTACGCATGGGTGCGCAGTCCATTCTCCTTAGTTCCTCCGAATTGTTCATTTTCTTATTCATACTGGTACGCGACGCCATAAATAGAGTTCCATTCAAGTTTTTAGCAATTTTTGATTCTTCTAGCTAGCTACCGTAGGATATGGGCTATCTTGGTTCGGTAAGTATGGTACGAGTGGCAGCAAATCCCCCGCGGCCACTATGGCAGCCACATCTGACCACTCCAAGCCAACACCAGTGTCATCGCCAGGCCCCGCCGCCGGATCAACCCCCGAACCAAGTCCTGGCCCAACGCCCGGACCTCTGGACCTACTCCAGATTCTACACCTGAACCTGCCCCTGGTCCATCTCCAGACCCCGATTGTTGCCACACCTGGACCAAGACCAGGACCCACCCCTAGTAGACCAGCACAACAGCTACCAGCACTCATACCAACTCCAGGGCCTACTGCGGTACGGTAGTACCCCTCGACCCACTCCAGGTCACAACAGGACTTACCTCTGGTGCATCTCCAGGCTCCACTCCTGGGCCTAGATCCTGTCTCTTTTAATTAATGTAGTTGAACTGGCTTGCTCAGCACCCTTGTTTTAATATTGATGCAACTGAGTTCATTGTCGCTAGCAAAGCATGGAATCCAGTTGTTCAAAGCAAGTGCGCATATAAGGCATCGATCCTCACCGCAAGAAGCTGGCAGCATGTTGTCAACGGCCCAGACCAAGGCAAAGTAGAAAATCTCAAGATGACGAAGGCAAGCAGTTTAGGCCTACCGGTACCGGAGCACTACTCTTTAAATTATGAAAATACTTAATGGGCACTATGTCGTCGTCGATGTCCTGTATGAACACCACCCCGCTGCTATGTCAAACTTGGATAACTTGTTTTGCCGCTGCCGTACCGAATGATAATTGACAAGAGGGGCGAGGATGCGAGGATGGCTAAAGAGTGGAACTGTCAATGACTGACAGCGCGTTGCTTCGGAGTTCAGCGGCCGTGGTAGCAATTTTGGGGAATGCCAGTGGAATTCCTACCAAACCATCCGTTGTGATGGTAGAAATACCCGTAGAAGTACCAGCGTTGGAATCATCTGCCAACAATTGAGCCTGTACAATGATGCCGGCAGGTCCAACAGCAGTAACCACAGCATCCTCCACCAATGCCAAGGACGCGAGTCCAAGCCCAAACTTGGCCAAGAGTCGAATTTCATAAGCGAATTCTTCCTCGTTGAACAGTTCACGGAGTGTGTCACATTCTGCGGCTAGTTCGGGAGTAGCACAATCACTACTACTGCTCACCCACCAAGTGGGAAACTGCACGCTTTCGTTTGTGGTTTCCAGAAGCGTGTTGCTGAGTAGAGCGTCGTCGGTGTCTTGCGAATTGCCTTGATTCAATGCCTTCCATTCATCGTGCTGCAACACAAGTTCTGCTTGCTGATCCAGTTCTTCAAAGTTGTCCAAGACACACTCGCCCAAAGACGCAGTGTCTGCGCAAGAATGGGGAAATTCGACGGGAACAGCCACGGCAGAACAGGATTCTCCTTCGCATAAGCTGGCTTCCACTTCCATGTGTTTGTCATCAAAGCCCACCACCGAGACATCTTCAATTCGCGATAATTCCAAGGCGTGTCCCTGTGGAGGAAAGGCGGACACGATGCGCGCCAAAGCTCCCTTGTGACGGTTCATGTAGCCTTGGGTATTAATGGATGCTTGCGTTTGCTGCTGCTCACCAGTGTCTCCCCCTACAAGCCCTGACACGATATCCTCGTCGTCCTCATCTCCCGTTCCATAGTAGTAAAGGGATCTTTTGGATGGAATTCGGGAAATACTGACCCCTGAGATTCCCCTGGAGGTGAAAGTACATGTACTGGTAATTGACCTTGGAGCAACCGAGAAGGACTCGGCAAGGGCCATCCAGAAAAGGATAAGGAGAGAAGCGCCTTGATAACTGTGCATGGTGTTAGAACTGGTCGGTACGGTACGGTGGATAAGATAGGATGGTTGATGTAAATTAACTATCGTATGTTGCCAGAGCCAGCTACTACTTGGAGTATGGGTTGAGTTGATAGATGGTTGATGCCTTGATGTTTTTGGCTGTGTGTTACTCACAGTACCTGGTGGGTTATCGGTAGTGGTGCATGAGAAGCGAACAACAACATGGGAAGAGGTATCTTCGGTGTCTGTCGGGCAGCTGTCGTTTACTTCCGACGCACATTTACTCTAAATATAGCTCTAACCTTGATGTAGTTTAGTGGCATGTACCCCAATCGTGCGCACTTGTTTTTCGCTTTTGGTCCCTCGGTTTGCTCACAATTCCAAAACACACTCCGAAACAACGCGAAAGCCAAATAACAATATTATTTCAACTCTGTTACGGTAAGTCCTTAGCTAGCTACGGTAGCTAGTCACACACGTGAAAACAACGTCAGTGACCCTTGCAAGCGAGCCAGCCATCGCATTGCTCGTCGCTTAAGTGGCTCCTTAAATCTCCCGCCAAGCCCGCCACCTCCCGCTTCTCCATCACAGTCGATTGGCCCTCAGCCATCCCGTCTGCGCGGCTCTCTGTCTGGCTGATCGAAAAGGAACGAAATTCCTTTCATCCGTGGCTACCGTTGTTATCGTGTCGTGAAGGGACGAAGCATCTTTGCATCATCTGTTTGTGGTCCTTGAGCTCCGCAGTCACCGTTTGATCAGAGCAGCAGCAGTAGTGTACGTGATGAAATCTGTCTGTTCGTCTTGTTGAATTGGAAGGAAGGACCATGGCGGCTTGTTACTCTTCTTGTCCGCATCTTCGTCGCCGTCTGTCCTTCGACTCTGTAGAATCCTACGTGATGTGTACGAGCGCGGCATGGAATTCTTCCATCGCGCGACTCGTGGGAAAGTTGTTGGAAGCAGCCGACCGTCGTGTTGTTCTGCTGTCTTTGTTGATGGCTAGCTAGAGCTAGCTAGCAGTGAGGCAATCGTGTCGCCAAGACTCCGTGTCAATGCCGACTGCTGTAGTCGATGTGGTTGCTGGATGACAAAAGAAAGAACATCCCTTGGACTCGACTGACTGACTCGTCGCTAACCTCTCCCTCCTTGTCTTGTTGCTTGTTCCTTGTTCCTTGTGGTCTCGCAGAACAGAACGCTACTCGTACAGTACGGAACTCAGCTTACTTGACCTGAACGGAACTGAGGTGAATTACTTCAGTCAACCAACCAATCAATCTACATCTCCTTTATGATCGCACGGATATAGCAAGCAGAGGGGGACTTATCATTCCAACAGAAGAAAGAACAAAAGGGGCTTTAGCGCTCAATTCCATTCTTGTATCATCAAATCAACAACAAACAAAAAAGAAACAAAAAGAAAAAACAAGTGAACAAGTGCTGCATCAGCGTGGCAAGATCCTAGAGGACTACTGCACTGCTGCCTGTGTTTGTTGATTGATTATGCAAACCGCGCAGCCTCATGCACCACCAGCGGGAGCTCCGCCGCCACCGCCGCCTTCGACGATGCAGCCTGTTGCCCCGGCGCCCATCAACGGAACCAACGACATGGCAGCTTCGCACGGACAGGTAGCCGCAGCCAACATGCAGCATACGCAGTACCAACCACAGCCTCAGCAGTACCAGCATCAGCCGCCTCCACAGCATCACCAGCATCACGCCCCAGCTCCACCTCCTCCTGTCCAACATCATGCTCCTGCCCCGCCACCTCCAGCTCAGCATCATCACCAATACCAGCAACCACCACCACAACAGCATCAGCCGCCCCCACATCATGCTCCCGCCCCTCCCCCTCCTCAGCATCATCATCAGCACCAACAACATCACGCCCCTGCTCCACCACCCACCCCAAGCATCAAAAAAAAAAAAACACCCCCACAGCAACAACAACAACAACAACATCCACCCCAACAGCACTATCAACAGCCGCCGCCTCCTCAGCAAGTACAAACTAGCTACGGACAGCCACCGCCACCGATGCAGCCAGGACAGCCTCAGCAGCAACCGCCTCCCCAACAACAGGCACCGCCTCAGCAACATCACTATCCACACCAGGGACTTAACGGGGGGTGGCAAAGCGACAAGGACTATCAGGAGCGACGGAAAATGATTGCCAAAATGTACGTTTCTAGCTAGCTAGTTAGACCAGACAAAAGGATGTGGCTATGTCAAGCTATGTCAAAGCTAGCTAGCAAATAGGAATACTCACACTGTTTTCTTCCTCTTCTTGTTGTGTGCCTCGCTAGTGTTCATCTCTTGCAACAACGGAAACCAAATGCGCCTCAGGAATGGCTCAAGAAACTACCCCAAATGGCAAAGCGATTGGAAGAATCCTTGTATCGATCTGCCAAGTCGTTCGAACAGTACAATGATGCAAGCACACTCAAACATCGGCTTCAACAGCTAGCTGTTAACATTGGTATGAAGACGAAGAAGATGCAGCAAGCACAAATCGCGCAGCAAAAGCTCCAACAACCGCCTCCACCTCGCCAGTATCAGCAACAGCAACAGCAAGCTCAGTACAGGCCTCCCCCGGCTACGCAACAACCACCTCAACAGCTACACAGGCCACCGGCACCACAGCCGGTTCAAGCTAGGCCACCAGCACCGCAGCAACCGATTCAGCAACGGCAACAACCAATGCAACAACCACCACCGGTACCGCAAGCGCCAGCTCCACAACCACCACAACAGCCTCAGCAGCGGATGGTCAATGTAGCAGAAATCAACCCTATCATGGGAGGACCTCCGCCTAGTCAGCCTCCACAGCACGTGCAGCCGGCACCAGCGCAACCACCAACTGCGCCGCCTCCGCATGGTCAACCGATCCAGTACCATCCTCAACCAGCACCCGCGCCCCCACCGGCAGCACCAGCTCCTCAGCCACCAGCGCCAGGCCAAAATGGAGTACGTCCACCAGCAGGGACGGGAGGTAGACAGGTTTCGGATCGGCAACAAGTCTTGCGCCATCAACAACAGCGGTTGTTGCTTCTTAGACATGCAGCGAAATGCCAGCATGAAGACGGCCGGTGTCCTGTTACGCCTCATTGTGCCGGAATGAAGAGACTGTGGAAACACATTGCCGAGTGTAAAGACCAAAAGTGTCTCGTGCCGCACTGCGTTAGCTCTAGGTATGTGCTTAGCCACTACCATCGATGCAAGGACGTTCGTTGTCCGGTATGTGGTCCTGTCCGGGAAGCAATCCATCGAAGTCACGAGAAACAAAAGCAGATGCAGGCTTTGAAGCAACGGCATCAGCAAGCAGTGCAGCAAACTCAAATTCAAGCCGCTCCAGCGCCATCAAGTGCTCCGGCTCCGGTTGCACCAGCCGCTCCTTTGCCCCCGCAACCGTTGTCGTCTGGACCTGTTGCCGCCCCGATGGCTCACACCAGCATTGCTCCGGTGGGGTCCTCTGTTCCGGAACCACCAAACAAACGGCAAAAAACGGCATCTGGCGTCCCAGCACAGCCGTATCCTCCGCCCCCTCCACAGCCGGGTGTTCCTGTGGCTCCGCAACAACCCATGCATCAGCCTTCCAGTGTTCCCCCGGGAGTACCACCGCCCAGCCAATATCAGTATCCTCCACAACCCGGCGCACCTGTGCCTGTTCCCGTGCAGCAACCACAGCCAGCGGTTGCCGTTGTGCCAGTGCCAGGAGCCCAGCCACCTGCAGTACCTTCGGCGCCCGCTGGACCAAAACCTGCAGTTTCCGGTGCTCCAGGCATTGCTTTTCAGAATGGGCAGGTCATCACTCCAAAGTACACAGGCCCGAAGCCGCAGGAAGATCATACTCTTATCAACTGTTTCTCAGTCGCTCAAATCGAAACGCACATCGCGTCGCTCAACAAAGGGTTGCGGCTTCCTCCTCAGAAGCTCAAGGCGAAATGTCTGGATGTGCTAAAATCGCTGCAATCTCACCAGCACGGCTGGGTCTTCAATAGCCCTGTCGACCCTGTCGAGCTGGGGCTTCCGGACTACTTTGAAGTCATCAAACGTCCTATGGATCTCGGAACTATCAGGAAAAAATTAGAGAACGGCTGTTATCATTCCCTGGATGAATTTGAGAACCACTGCCACTTGACCTTCGACAACGCGATGCTTTACAATCCACAGGGCTCGGTTGTCTACAACATGGCAGAAGAAATGAAAGCGAAGTTCGAGCAAGACTACCAAAACCTCCTCAAGGTGCTCAACGCAGAAGAAGATGTGAAGCGCAGAAATGGAGAAGCTTGTGTGCTGTGTGGATGCGAGAAGCTGATCTTTGAGCCTCCCGTGTTTTACTGCAATGGCCTAAACTGCCCTTCAAAGAGAATCCGGCGCAACAGCTACTATTACGTTGGTGCCAACAATCAGTACCACTGGTGTCATCAGTGTTATCAGGAACTGAAAGACAACCAAGCTATCGAGCTTGGAGATGTCACCATCAAGAAGGAAGGGCTCACCAAGAAGAAGAATGATGAGGTGCACGAAGAGAGCTGGGTGCAGTGCGATCGCTGTGAAAGATGGATCCATCAAATCTGTGCACTGTTTAACACAAGACAGAACAAGGACCAGCGTTCGGAATACGCTTGCCCACGTTGTACAATAGAAGAACGGAGAAAAAAGGGAGAACTCGAGGCAACATCTCAAACACCAATGGCGGAAGACCTCCCCCGGACGAAGCTGTCGGAGTATTTGGAAGAGAACGTTCGAAAGAAGGTCAACGAGTACGTCGATGTGAACTCAAAACAAAAGGCGGAGGCAGAGGTAAGCCTAGGTATTTTTTGCCTTTTTGTGTTGTTTTGATGTGCTGAACTTTGTCTCACCTATTATTTCGTTGACTGACAGCAAATTCCGCTGGAAGAAGCCAGGAAGGCTCTCGAAATGGGTGGGCACATTACCATTCGTCAAGTCACGTCGATGGATCGAAAATTGGAGGTGCGAGAGCGCATGAAACGCAGATATGCGTTCAAAAACTATCCGGACGAGTTCAACTTTCGTTGCAAGTGCATCGTGGTGTTCCAAAATCTCGATGGCGTGGATGTGATATTGTTTGGGCTGTATGTCTACGAGCACGATGAAAAGAATGCGTTACCGAACAAACGGACGGTGTACATTTCCTACCTCGATAGCGTTCATTACATGAGGCCACGAAAGATGAGAACTTTCATCTACCATGAGATTTTGGTATCATACTTGGACTATGTTCGCAAGCGTGGGTTTTCTTCTGCCCACATCTGGGCGTGCCCTCCACTCAAGGGGGACGACTATATCCTTTATGCCAAGCCCGAGGATCAAAAGGTGCCAAAGGACGATCGCCTTCGACAGTGGTACATTGACATGCTCGTTGAGAGCCAGAAACGCGGTATCGTCGGCACTGTTACCAATATGTATGATCTTTATTTCTCCAACGAGAAAAACGACGCTACGGTGGTGCCCTACATGGACGGCGATTACTTTCCTGCAGAGGTGGAGAATATCATCAAGGACATCGAAGAAGGAAAGACAGGCAAGAAAGGAAAGGAACAGGGGAAGAAAAAGAAGGGAAACAACAAGGCGAAGCAGAAGAAGAAAAATGGGCGTGGTGGCACTCGCTCCACTGGTCTCGACGAGCAGGCCTTGAAGGCGAGCGGCTTCGTCCCTCCAGGCACAGAAGCCAAGAGCGTTGAAGAAGGCGGGCGAGACTACGTCATGGTGAAACTCGGGGAAACAATCCAACCGATGAAGGAGAGTTTTATCGTTGCATTTCTTGCTTGGGAAGGGGCCAAGCGCGAGCACATGGTTGTCCCCAAGGAAATTGAGGAATATCGCAAGGAGCATGGAATCGTATCGGTCATTGGCAAGGACGACAGCGATGACGAATGCAAAAGTTTGAACGATGGGGCGAACGGCAAAACTCCACCAGTCGAGAAAGAGTCGGAAGAGAAGAAAGACGGCAACGACACATCCACAAACGGTGACGTCAAAATGGAATCAGCCGACGGGTCTGCGGTGAAACAGGAGGAGACAGATGGCTCGCCACCACCAACGGATCAGGCCGAGAAACCCGCTTCTGCGGACGCGACAACCAATTCTTCAACCGCCGCGGTGAAAGAAGAGAAGCCCGACGAGGCAATGCCTGATGCCGGTGCGAATGATACAGCAGCCAAGGACGGGAACGGTGCCACACAACCTGAGCCGGAGAAGCCTGCGGATGCCGCTGCAGCACCGGCAGCTGACCAGGATTCCGCTCAAGCTCCCGCCCCCGACCAACCTCCTGCTGCAGTGAAGACTGAACCTGGCACTGAAGACGCCGCAGGAGCGCCAGAAGCAGGAGTACAACAAGGCGTGTCTCAGAGCGCCATGGCAATTCGCAAAGGGAAGTTTGCCGCCATGACCGCGAGGAAACGCGACCTAATGGGCAAGGATAAAGAGCCCGAAAAGGACGACAAGGACGCTAAAGACAAGGATAAAGAAAAAGAGAAGAAAGCCTCGAAGACCATCTACGTGAAAGATAGCCGTGGTCGCACTGTCAAGGTGATTGATGACGACGATGAAGAAATGGACTGTGAATTTCTCAACAATCGTCAAGCCTTCTTGAATCTTTGTCAAGGAAACCACTACCAGTTCGATCACCTGCGCAGAGCCAAACATTCCTCCATGATGGTGCTGTGGCATCTTCATAATCGGGATGCTCCCAAGTTTGTTCAACAGTGCGCCACTTGCTCGCGAGAAATCCTGACGGGATACAGATTCCACTGCCCTACTTGCGCCGATTTCGATCAGTGCCAAGAATGCGTTCACAATCCAAAAGTCGCTAGGCATCCTCATCAGCTGAAGCCGATCCCAGTCGCTAGTGGTCAGCAGCCTGAGCTAACGGAGGAACAGAGGAAAGAGCGTCAGCGAAGCATTCAGCTGCATATGACTCTTTTGCAGCACGCAGCAACTTGCACTTCTCCAAAATGTCCATCGGCAAACTGTACGAAGATGAAGGGTCTGTTGAAGCATGGTGCCCAATGTCAGATCAAGGCAACAGGCGGTTGCAATGTGTGCAAGCGTATTTGGGCCCTTCTACAGATCCATGCACGCCAATGCCGAGCTACGTCCTGCCCTGTTCCCAACTGCATGGCCATTCGCGAGAGAGTTCGGCAGCTAAAGAAGCAACAACAAGCGATGGACGATCGTCGGCGTCTCCAAATGAACCAAGCTTACTCTGCTTCTTCCAGGAGATAGATAGGATGCGAAAATACTTTGCACTAGATCATTTTTATCACATTGCCGCAGAGACAAGGACTATGTTTGTGGCAACACAAAAGAAGATGGATTTTGCAAAAGCAGCCTGGGCATCTCTATTCTTTCATATCCAAATTGTGCTCTTGTAGTCTATTTCGTAGTATGCCCGAGCAAATCGTGTCGCACCCCGTTTCTGTTCATCTGTCGCGTTGTAGCCAATCGCCAGATGGTATTTGCTTGGATTTGTTGCAATCTGGTCTATGGTAGACATAGGCGCGAACGACAGATCCTTCCTCTCCGATGGGCTCCCCTCCTAGTGTCCTTTTAGGATCACCAAGAAATGCATCGGCTATGGCTCTCTGATACAGCCCAGAACCATCGGGCACGTATCCTTCTATGGAATCAAAGTGCTTCAACTTTCGCTGGAACAGCTCTGGATCAGCCGTCAGCACCCAACCGCTAACTCTGTTGGTGGTATCCTCTTTCGCATCGCCACTGCTGCATGTACCAAGAACCAAGGAAGCATAAGTATCTTCATAAAGCTTGGCACCAGGAACTGTGGCCGGCTGAGCTCTCACCCCAGATACCGCTTCTTGGGTCCAAGGCATGTTGGAGTCGTCGTCAGGGCGTAAACTGCCGTAACAGAACACATGGCTGCAGTCTTGGTCCGTCATTGTGTTGCTTGTGCTCATCCAATGGCCAATCACGAGGCTTGATCTGTTTCCAAATGCATGTAGCAGCCACGAAGTTCTCAGATTTGGTACCACGATCATCAAAATCTAAACCTGACAAAACTCCAGGAGAATGGTGCCTGAGCAGCGCCGCACTGTGCCGTTCCTATTAATACCGATAGTAGGTCCAGGCTGGACGACGATGATTGAGACATTGAGACAGCTATCGATCGAGACTCGAGACGTACAGTCGTACGCTGAAACAGATATAACAATAATATTACCTCCGCAGGTAAACTGCCTGAGTTCTCAACCCCTTTAATGCTATTTCCTATTTCCTATTTCCTATTTTCTATTTCCTATTTCCTATTTCCTATTTTCTATTTCCTATTTCCTATTTCCTATTCCGGTGAAGCCAAAGCATAAGGATAGAGATAGTCATAAGCCAACAAAACTGAACATTGATGGTTCAATACAAGTTAGGGGTAGGAATAAATCATTAATATTTAAGGTTAGTGCAAACAGCACAACAGCACAATAAGCCAGCAGGAGCTGTAAAGGTTAGAGTTACAATAAGGGAATGGCACCTGTAAATTATAGAGTAGCGGCGGCAACAAAACGTAGTCGGGTGTTGTCGCCAGGCTAGCTTAATAAAAAAGGTTGCAATGGGGAATGAATGTACCGGGCGGCAACACACGCGTAGTCGGTGTTGTCGCCAGGCTGCTTGAAAGATGGTGCAATCTCAACATGATCCTCCTTCTTCTATCTGTCTTTCTGCCGAGGTATCGCAACTCCCGCTGACTTAAATGCTATTTCCTATTTCATATATCCTATTTCCTATTCCTATTCCGTGAAGCAAAAGTATAAGGATAAGATAGTCATAAACAAAAAACTGAACATTATGTTAATACAAGTTAGGGTAGAATAAATCATTAATATTTAGGTTAGTGCAATCAGCACAACACCACAATAAGCCAGCAGGATTTAAAGGTTAGAGTTACAATAAGGAAATGGCAGCTGGTAAATTAAAGAGTAGCGGGCGGCAACACACGCGTAGTCGGTGTTGTCGCAGGGCTAGCTTAAATAAAAAAGATGTTACAATGATAATGATACCGGGCGGCAACACACGACGAAGTCGGGTTTGTCCCAGGGCTGCTTTGAAACAGGTGCAATCTCAAACATGTTCTCCTTCTTCTATCTGTCTTTCTGCCGAGGTATCGCAGCTCCGCTGACTTAAATGCTATTCCTATTTTCCTATTTCCATTTTCTATTTCCTATTCCTATTCCTATTCCGGTGAAGCCAAAGCAAAAGGATAGAATAGTCATAAGCCAACAAAACTGAACAATGATGGTTCAATACAAGTTAGGGGTAGAATAAATCATTAATATTAAGGTTAGTGCAATCAGCAAAACAGCACAATAAGCCAGCAGGAAAAAGGTTACAATAGGGAAGTGAGCTGTAAATTATAGATAGCGGCGGCAACACAAGACGAGTCGGGGTTGTGCCAGGGCTAGCTTAATAAAAAGAAGGTTGCAATGCGGAATGAATGATACCGGGGGCAACACACGATAGTCGGGTGTTGTCGCCAGGCTGCTTGAAAGATGGGTGCATCCGAACATATCCTCCTCTTCTATCTGTCTTTCTCCGAGGTATGCAGCTCCCCTGACTTAAATGCTATTTCTATTTCCTATTTCCTCTATTCCGGTAAGCCAAAGTAAGGATAGAGATAGTCAAAAGCCAACAAAACTGAACATGATGGTTCAATACAATTAGGGTAGGAATAAATCATTAATATTAAGGTTAGTGCAATCACCAACAGCACAATAAGCCAGCAAGGTGTAAAGGTTAGAGTTACAATAAGGGAATGGCAGCTGGTAAATTAGAGTAGCGGGCGGCACGACAACGTACACGACGAGTCGGGTGTGTCGCCAGGGCTACTTAAAAAAAAAAGAAGGTTCAATTAGGGAATGATACCGGGCGACGACGGAGTGTTGTCGCCAGGGCTACTTGAAAAAAGGGTGCAATCTCAACATGATCCTCCTTCTCTCTATCTGTCTTTCTGCCGAGTATCGCAGCTCCCGCTACTTAAATGCTATTTCCTATTTCCTATTTCCTATTTCCTATTCCGGTGAAGCAAATATAAGGATAGAGATAGTCATAAGCAACAAAACTGAACATTGATGGTTAATACAAGTTAGGGTAGGAATAAATCATTAATATTTAAGTTAGTGCAATCAGCACAAACACACAATAAGCCAGCAGGAGCTGTAAAGGTTAGAGTTACAATAAGGGAATGGCAGCTGGTAAATTATAGATAGGGGCGGCAACACACGCGTAGTCGGTGTTGTCGCCAGGCTAGCTTAATAAAAAAAGGTTATGAGGGAATGATACCGGGGGCAACACACACGACGAGTCGGGTGTTGTCGCGCAGGGCTAGCTTGAAAGAGTGCAATCTCAAACATGACTCCTTCTTCTATCTGTTTTCTGCGAGGTATCGCAGCTCCCCTGACTTAAATGCTATTTCCATTTCCTATTTCCTATTTCCTATTCCGGTAAGCCAAAATATAGGATAGAAGATAGTCATAAGACAACAAAACTGAACATTGATGGTTAATACAAGTTAGGGGTAGGAATAAATCATTAATATTAAGGTTAGTGCAATCACACAACAACACACAATAAGCACAGGAGCTGTAAAGGTTAGAGTTACAATAAGGAATGGCAGCTGTAAATTATAGAGTAGCGGGGGCAAACACACGACGTAGTCGGGTGTTGTCGCCAGGGCTAGCTTAAATAAAAAAAGGTTTAAATGAGGTAATGATCGGGCGCAACACACGACAGTCGGTGTTGTCGCCAGGGCTGCCTTCTTGAAAGCAGGGTGCAATCTCAAACATGTTGTCCTTCTTCTATCTGTCTTTCTGCCGAGGTAACGCAGCTCCCGCTACTTAAATGCTATTCCTATTTCCTATTTCTATTTCCAATTTTCTATTTCCTATTTCCTATTTCCTATTCCGGTGAAGCCAAAGAAAAGGATAGAGATAGTCATAAGACAACAAAACTGAACATTGAGGTTCAATACAAGTTAGGGTAGGAATAAATCATTAATATTTAAGGTTAGTGCAATCACAACAGCACAATAAGCCAGCAGGAGCTTTAAAGGTTAGAGTTACAATAGGGAATGGCAGCTGGTAAATTATAGAGTACGGGCGGCAACAACCGACGTAGTCGGGTTTCGCCAGGCTAGCTTAATAAAAAGAAAGTTGCAATGCGAATGAATGATACCGGGCGGCAACACACGACGTAGTCGGTGTTGTCGCCAGGGCTAGTTGAAAGATGGGTGCAATCTGAACATGATCCTCCTTCTTCTATCTGTCTTTCTGCCGAGGTATCGCAGCTCCCGCTGACTTAAATGCTTTTTCTATTTCCTATTCCTATTTCCTATCCATTCCGGTGAAGCCAAAAAATATAGGATAGAGAATAGTCATAAGCACAACAAAACTGAACATTGATGTTCAATACAAGTTAGGGGTAGGAATAAATCATTATTATTTAAGGTTAGTGCAATCATCGCAACAGCACAATAAGCACAGGAGTGTAAAGTAGAGTACAATAAGGGAATGGCACTGGTAAATTATAGAGTAGCGGGCGGCAACACACGCGTAGTCGGTGTTGTCGCCAGGCTATAATAAAAGAAGGTTTAATGAGGAATAATGATACCGGCGGCAAGGCTAGCTTGAAAGATGGGTGCAATCGGAACATGATCCTCCTTCTTCTATCTGTCTTTCTGCCGAGGTATCGCAGCTCCCGCTGACTTAAATGCTATTTCCTATTTCCTATTTCCTATTTCCTATTCCGGTGAAGCCAAAGTATAAGGATAGAGATAGTCATAAGACAACAAAACTGAACATTGATGGTTAAATACAAGTTAGGGGTAGGAATAAATCATTAATATTTAAGGTTAGTGCAATCAGCACAACACCACAATAAGCCAGCAGGAGCTGTAAAGGTTAGAGTTACAATAAGGGAATGGCAGCTGGTAAATTATAGAGTAGCGGGCGGCAACACACGACGTAGTCGGGTGTTGTCGCCAGGGCTAGCTTAAATAAAAAAAGGATGTTACAATGAGGTAATGATACCGGGCGGCAACACACGACGAAGTCGGGTGTTGTCGCCAGGGCTGCCTTCTTGAAAGCAGGGTGCAATCTCAAACATGTTGTCCTTCTTCTATCTGTCTTTCTGCCGAGGTATCGCAGCTCCCGCTGACTTAAATGCTATTTCCTATTTCCTATTTCCTATTTCCAATTTTCTATTTCCTATTTCCTATTTCCTATTCCGGTGAAGCCAAAGCAAAAGGATAGAGATAGTCATAAGACAACAAAACTGAACATTGATGGTTCAATACAAGTTAGGGGTAGGAATAAATCATTAATATTTAAGGTTAGTGCAATCAGCACAACAGCACAATAAGCCAGCAGGAGCTGTAAAGGTTAGAGTTACAATAAGGGAATGGCAGCTGGTAAATTATAGAGTAGCGGGCGGCAACACACGACGTAGTCGGGTGTTGTCGCCAGGGCTAGCTTAATAAAAAGAAGGTTGCAATGCGGGAATGAATGATACCGGGCGGCAACACACGACGTAGTCGGGTGTTGTCGCCAGGGCTAGCTTGAAAGATGGGTGCAATCGGAACATGATCCTCCTTCTTCTATCTGTCTTTCTGCCGAGGTATCGCAGCCCCCGCTGACTTAAATGCTATTTCCTATTTCCTATTTCCTATTCCGGTGAAGCCAAAGTATAAGGATAGAGATAGTCATAAGCCAACAAAACTGAACATTGATGGTTCAATACAAGTTAGGGGTAGGAATAAATCATTATTATTTAAGGTTAGTGCAATCATCGCAACAGCACAATAAGCCAGCAGGAGTTGTAAAGGTTAGAGTTACAATAAGGGAATGGCAGCTGGTAAATTATAGAGTAGCGGGCGGCAACACACGACGTAGTCGGGTGTTGTCGCCAGGGCTAGCTTAATAAAAAGAAGGTTGCAATGCGGGAATGAATGATACCGGGCGGCAACACACGACGTAGTCGGGTGTTGTCGCCAGGGCTAGCTTGAAAGATGGGTGGCAATCGAACTGTCATGATCCTTCTTTCTTCTATCTGTCTTTCTGCCGAGTATCGCAGCTCCCGCTGACTTAATGCTATTTCCTATTTCCATATTTCATATTTCCTATTTCCTATTCCGGTGAAGCCAAAGTATAAGGATAGAGATAGTCATAAGACAACAAAACTGAAAATTGATGGTTAAATACAAGTTAGGGGTAGGAATAAATCATTAATATTTAAGGTTAGTGCAATCAGCACAACACCACAATAAGCAGCAGGAGCTGTAAAGGTTAGAGTTACAATAAGGGAATGGCAGCTGGTAAATTATAGAGTAGCGGGCGCAACACACGACGTAGTCGGGTGTTGTCGCCAGGGCTAGCTTAAAATAAAAAAGAAGGTTACAATGAGGAATGATACGGGGCGGCAACACACGACGTAGTCGGGTTGTTGTCGCCAGGGCTGCCTTCTTGAAAGCAGGGTGCAATCTCAAACATGTTCCTTCTTCTATCTGTCTTTCTGCCGAGGTATCGCAGCTCCCGCTGACTTAAATGCTATTTCCTATTTCCTATTTCTATTTCCTATTTCCATTCCGGTGAAGCCAAATATAAGGATAGAGATAGTCATAAGCAACAAAACTGAACATTGATGGTTAAATACAGTTAGGGGTAGGAATAAATCATTAATATTTAAGGTTAGTGCAATCAGCACAACACCACAATAAGCCAGCAGGAGCTGTAAAGGTTAGAGTTACAATAAGGGAATGGCAGCTGGTAAATTATGAGTAGCGGGCGGCAACACGACGTAGTCGACGTAGTCGGGTGTTGTCGCCAGGGCTAGCTTAAATAAAAAAAGGATGTTACAATGAGGTAATGATACCGGGCGCAACACACGACGAAGTCGGGTGTTGTCGCAGGGCTGCCTTCTTGAAAGCAGGGTGCAATCTCAAACATGTTGTCCTTCTTCTATCTGTCTTTCTGCCGAGGTATCGCAGCTCCCGCTGACTTAAATGCTATTTCCTATTTCTATTTCCTATTTCCATTTCTATTTCCTATTTCCTATTTCCTATTCCATCCGGTGAAGCCAAAGAAAAGGATAGAGATAGTCATAAGCCAACAAAACTGACATTGAGGTTCAATACAATTAGGGGTAGGAATAAATCATTAATTATTTAAGGTTAGTGCAATCAGCACAACAGCACAATAAGCCAGCAGGAGTTGTAAAGGTTAGAGTTACAATAAGGGAATGGCAGCTGGTAAATTATAGAGTAGCGGGCGGCAAACACACGACGTAGTCGGGTGTTGTCGCCAGGGCTAGCTTAATAAAAAGAAGGTGCAATGCGGGAATGAATGATACCGGGCGGCAACACACGACGAGTCGGGTGTTGTCGCCAGGGCTGCTTGAAAGATGGTGCAATCCGAACATGATCCTCCTTCTTCTATCTGTCTTTTGCCGAGGTATCGCAGCCCCCGCTGACTTAAATGCTATTTCTATTTCCTATTTCCTATTCCGGTGAAGCCAAAGTATAAGGATAGAGATAGTCATAAGCCAAACAAAACTGAACATTGATGGTTCAATACAAGTTAGGGGTAGGAATAAATCATTATATTTAAGGTTAGTGCAATCATCCAACAGCACAATAAGCAAGCAGGAGTTGTAAAGGTTAGAGTTACAATAGGGAATGGCAGCTGGTAAATTATAGAGTAGCGGGGGCAACAAACGACGTAGTCGGGTGTTGTCGCCAGGGCTAGCTTAATAAAAAGAAGGTTGCAATGCGGGAATGAATGATACCGGGCGCAACACACGACGTAGTCGGGTGTTTTCGCCAGGGCTAGCTTGAAGAAGGGTGCAATCAAAATGATCCTCCTTCTTCTATCTGTCTTTCTTGCCGAGGTATCGCAGCTCCCGCTGACTTAAATGCTATTTCCTATTTCCTATTTCCTATTTCCTATTCGGTGAAGCCAAATAAGGATAGAGATAGTCATAAGACAACAAAACTGAACATTGATGGTTAAATACAAGTTAGGGGTAGGAATAATAATTATTTTAAGGTTAGTGCAATCACACACAAATAAGCCAGCAGGATGTAAAGGTTAGAGTTACAATAAGGAATGGCAGCTGGTAAATTATAGAGTAGGGGGCGGCAACACACGATGAGTCGGGTGTTGTCGCCAGGGCTAGCTTAATAAAAAAGGTTCAATGAGGTAATGATACGGGCGGCAACACACGACGAAGTCGGGTGTTGTCGCCAGGGCCTTCTGAAAGCAGGGTGCATCTCAAACATGTTGTCCTTCTTCTATCTGTCTTTCTGCCGAGGATCGCAGCTCCCGCTGACTAATGCTATCTATTTCCTATTTCCTATTTCTATTTTCTATTTCTTCCTATTTCATTCCTATTTCCTATTCCGGTGAAGCCAAAGTATAAGGATAGAGATAGTCATAAGACAACAAAACTGAACATTGATGGTTCAATACAAGTTAGGGGTAGGAATAAATCATTAATATTTAAGGTTAGTGCAATCAGCACAACAGCACAATAAGCCAGCAGGAGCTGTAAAGTTAGAGTTACAATAAGGGAATGGCAGCTGGTAAATTATAGAGTAGCGGGCGGCAACACACGACGTAGTCGGGTGTTGTCGCCAGGGCTAGCTTAATAAAAAGAAGGTTGCAATGAGGGAATGAATGATACCGGGCGGAACACACGACGTAGTCGGGGTTGTCGCCAGGGCTAGCTTGAAAGATGGGTGCAATCGGAACATGATCCTCCTTCTTCTATCTGTCTTTCTGCCGAGGTATCGCAGCCCCCGCTGACTTAAATGCTATTCCTATTTCCTATATCCTATTTCCTATTCCGGTGAAGCCAAAATATAGGATAGAGATAGTCATAAGCCAACAAAACTGAACATTGATGGTTCAATACAAGTTAGGGTAGGAATAAATCATTATTATTTAAGGTTAGTGCAATCATCGCAACAGCACAATAAGCCAGCAGAGTTGTAAAGGTTAGAGTTACAATAAGGGAATGGCAGCTGGTAAATTATAGAGTAGCGGGGGCAACACACGACGTAGTCGGGTGTTGTCGCCAGGGCTAGCTAGCTTGAAAGATGGGTGCAATCCGAACATAATCCCCCTTCTTCTATCTGTCTTTCTGGGGAGGTATCGCAGCTCCCGCTGACTTATTAATTAGAGACTGCTTGTCCCGGTACGGTACTGTGTACGGTAGCTAGAGTAGGCTAGCTGGCTAGACAGCTTATTCATTCTCGACCCAAAGAATCTTCAAGCTTTCTGGTCCAGCCTTTCTCTCGAACAGACTCGAGCGGAGCATTTTTTGAGCCTAGGTTCTATGCTTGATTGCAGATTCCCACCAATAAGGCAGGAAGAGAGGGCCCTAATGCGTCCGGGCCCAGAACATCTAGGACCCTCTTGTGAGTGAAAGTAGGAGCCGTTTAGCAAATTGGTTCGTGAGCCGCGTGCATCACTTTCAGTGCAATGCCCAATTGCAATGATGGTGACATAAGATAGCCAAATAAATATCTACATGTATTGTCTTTACGTCGTGAAGAAGGAGGCAATACTCCGTGCGACTTTTCGAACCACTTCGAAAGCTTCTGCACAAGCATTTGTCTGGGTGCATACTACCTGGGCGTAGCAGGTGTCAGTATTCACACCCACACCAACGGCAGCAAATCCAACAGAAATGGCTTCTCGAGCCTGTTGAACGGTACAGGACGTCGTAGGGGCTCTCGCGGCAAAGAACTCGTCCACAACATTGCATGTTTGTTTAGCAGCGTCTCTGAAGCCACTGTTCATGGAGAGCATCTCCAAGTTTGCATATAGGAAAGTGTTCGCGAGTAGAACAACACACTCTTTCAAGGAGGACCCACAAGTATTCTCACAGGCTCTCACAGCGTTGACGTATGCCCTGTTCAGGAAACCGCTGGTATAGTGAACGTTCATCGAATTCCTGTACTCGCAAAAAGTGCTGATAGACTTTCCGTCAGCTGATGGATTTTCCATACTACGAAGAAATTCTCTCCCAAGTCCTGGTCCGGCTAGTGACTCTCCTAACAAAGAATACATCAACAAGCAATGAAATGAGCGGAATGGCATATCATCTCCTCGGGTGAAAACGGCTACACGTACCCACGAGGAAGTCCGGTGTGTCTTTACTGTCGTTAATTGTGAACTCCAATGCACACCCCATGAGATCGGAGTAGGCTTCATTCAATCCTCCCGATTGCAACAGATAGAGAAGATTGCTTGACTCGGAGGTAAGTCCGTGCGTGAGCTTGTATCATAGCATCCAGGAAGAAACATTGTGAGTCTTATTGCTTGACTTTATAGGCATCGACGGAACAACCCGGATATGCATTCTTACCTCGTGCACGACGACATCTGGGATTTGAGGGCGCAGCGTGAGTGGCAGAATATCATGTACATTGGGACCGTCAAACGCGTTTTCTCTGGCACTGACCTGTTGAGACCAAAGGATAGAATATATCGCAGTCGCAATCACCAAAAGTTACCGTCCGATCTATACAGACCAAGGGGACGAGATGCCATTATTTGCAAGGATTGAAAACGTTGTACCTTTCGTCAATCGAATGATTCAATCGGTCTTGACTTACCTCCGGGTACGTAAAAAGCATTGCAGTAGTCTGCAGTCATTTGAGATACCGGTACGTTTCACAGCGTTAGCAGGAAAAGAGGAAAAGTCGACCATGGCGCCCCGCAAACAAACAACGTGATTGAGCACTTTACCTTCTTCGTAGTGAACGCGACCGACCACAGGAATAGGATTTTCGGCCTCCTTGGTAAGCCCGCCCATCAGCCCCAGGTGTTCTTGGAGATACTGGAAGTAGTTGACCGCACCCCACTGAACATCAGACAACGCATCGGCACAGTTCGGCACTTCGGACACCGAGCAGGATTTCCCTGAATTGCAGTTCAGAGTTCCGTGCCAATGATACTGGAAGATGGGCCCCGGAGCAACCCTTTGATTCTTATCAAAAGTAAGTCATGAAGAAGAATGGCAATGTCAGCGTTGATACATGTACAAGGTTGTTGCTCTAGACATCAGCAAAGGCTTACCCCAGATCCATCGGTACCAGTAATGCAGAGAGTCTTGCGTCCATCATTGTTCAAGTAAAGAGTCTCCACATCGCATTCCACAGTTTGATCAGGATTCCATGCAATACCAGGCTCTATGGTAGCACAACTATCACATTTAGAAGCATCCAACTGCGAACCAGCACCCTGTAAATATCTGTGTCGAATTTCGGCTTTCCTTTGTAATTTCTCTTGCTTTTCCACCGCCCCCGCTATGTCGCATTTAAGGATGATCTCGTCGGTTTCATCATCCACAACTACTTGATACAGCTGTGGTTCTCCCGGGATGGATTCGTCCCAAACGGTACCAATCCATGCTCGGTAATCCTGGTTTTCCGTGGGGAAAATCTCAAGGGCCAACGTCGTAACCCGATATTCGGGCACCCCAAATAGCCCTGCGACCATACTTACGCCTTCCTCTTTTGTAGCGTGCTTGGGTGTGAATCCAGTGGGTACACGCACAGCATTCAATCTGTAACCGTCCACTGACACAATGCTCCTTGTATTCATGGTCGCAAGTGTGTTGGTGTTGACCAAAGCGCTTCGCTCGATGGCGGACAACTGGGAACATTCACTCGTTGTCACCACGAAATCAGCCCCATAGACGGGCAGCCCCTGGACAAGCTCTCGGACACGGTGTCGTTCTACAAGACAGGTAGAGCCGTCGTTGGATTTCACTTGGTTGACTTGACGGGCAGAAAAAGAATTAGTCTGGCCTCCTGCAAAGAGTCCCCTACTCTCCAAGGTTGGAACATCTTCATCTGACAAGCTCACGTGACGTGACATATCAGGCATTATTCCCGTGCACTGTTGGCGTCCTTCTCTCCCTGATGACTGCCGTACTCCCTCCACTGGCCCCAGGTTCAAGAGCAGGAGGGTTGCAACAAAGCATGCAAGGCGGAAATGGTTGAATAAATCGTTCATAGTGAAGTCCAATCCTGAGAGAAGTCAGAGCCCTTAGAAAGCAAAAGTTGAGACTTGTTTTGAGTTGAGAGGGCGGTGAGCTCTGACTTTGATGCGTTCGCCAGCCCTCGAAGCACCATCGATCATGGATGAGAGGTGCGAGGTGGGATCAACCGATGGTTTCAACGCAGAGCTTTAATGAGTAATTACACCCGGAGAGAACATCGTCCGGCGCCCAGGACCGTAAATAGAAGCACTTTTAATTAAGTACCAAGAGGTACGGCTGTAAACAAATCTAATCACGCACACTTGCTCTAAAAATTTTGCATGAGTCATGTTTAATCGGGACCCACACAAAGTCATTCATCTCCCGATGACTGCCAGGCCAACAGGTAGATAGTGGTAGTATCTTCGCGTAGAAAATACCAGCAAACCTGGGCTTGACAACAAGCAAGATCCATGCTTCTTCTTCTCTTGTTTACAAGAACATATCGCGGTTCCCATATCACTTGTTCTTTGTTGTTTTCATAGCTTCCCCCCACACTTCGAGACAGCGTCTCCTGCCATTATCCGCAGAAGCCAAGTTACCAAAAAGCACTTTCACCATGGCGGATCTTATGTTTTCAATGGGCCAGACCAAGGGCAAGAAAAAGACTGCCAAGAAGGTCAAGGACACCAAAGATTCCTTGAAGGATGTTGTCATCACTGACACAGTCGAGACTAACATTCGCGCTGATCAACACAACCGTGAGATTCAATCCAAGGAAACTGCTCGCAACCAAATCAAGGAGAACATGAATGTCACTGTCACCGAGACAGTGGAAGGTGATATTCGTAAGGATCAACACAACCGTGAGATCCAGTCCAAGGAAACTGCTCGAAACCAAATCAAGGAGAACATGAATGTCACAGTTACTGAGACGGTTGAAGGCGACATCCGCAAGGATCAACACAACCGCGAAATCAAGTCCAAGGAGACTGCTCGCAACCAGATCAAGGAGAACACCAACTTTGATATGGCTCGTTCCCTCTTTGGAGGTGGTGGCGAAGAGGAAGAAGAAGAGGAGGAGGAAGAGTAAACTCTAGGTTCCACTGGCTTGATATTGGTATATCTTTGGAAGGTATCTTCTTCACTGCGAGGGCATAACGTATTTGGAGCAATTAATGAATCGGGCTTGGTGGCCGTTGGAGTACAATACCGTATGGTGTGTCTGTTGCCTGCTCATTGGTCGCTTCTTCTGTTGATTTGAATGCGCGGGGTTGAGTCTCCTTGCATTTACACCACGGCATCATAGATGATGGCTAAAAGTAGTAGAATTATTCGTTTTCATCTGCAACGTTGGAAGTGGCTAAATGGCTTGTTCGTGTGGGCGGATTCGCTGAGCATATCAGCGTAGCTGCTAGGGTGGATTGAGGGAAGGTTTTACATTTTCTACCCTCGGGCTCATAGTAATGGAGCCAAAAATGGAAACCAGGAGCAATGCTTCAAAGGGAGACTGTTACTGGTACCGGAAGTTGGAGCGTTTGCTTCCTCCGAACCACTACTACTAGCTAGCTAGCATTGCTTGGAAACTTTTCGAAGAATGTCAACAGAAGACAGTCGAAGATACCATGCTGGGCCAGGCCAGCATCCAAGCACGAACATTGAAAGGGCCCGAAATCAGGATTTTAAGAATCCAATTAAATTGATCAATTCCAAACCAAAGTATAAAATCGAAGCCGAAATATAAAACCGAAGCCTAAATATAAAACCGAAACCAAATTACTATGGTAAATAACTAATAAAATCAAGCCGAAACCAAAATTTAAAATCGACACCAAAATATAAAATCGAAACCAAAATATAAAATCCAAACCAAAATATAAAGCAGAATCACTTGTAAATCGCGATTTCGGGCCCTTTCAGGGGTGCTGGATTACTACAGCCGTAGTACATCAGCAGCTTCCGCAAAAGAGGGCAAGAAAGCGAATTTCTTCGAAGTCTGTGCGCTGTACGTACCGGTACGTAGGTTTTGTACTGGACCCAGATCGACCATGACACCCAGCAGCAGGCAGCATTTTGAGGTGAACCAAGGATTGTGTTGTTTCCGCTCATAGTCCTCTTCAGTTGAGTTTTCTTGTTGTTTCTCTTTCTCTCTTTTGTAATCACACCAACAAAGCAACCATGGCAGACTTGATGTTTTCACTGGGCCAGACCAAGGGCAAGAAAAAGACTGCCAAGAAGGTCAAGGACACCAAGGACTCGTTGAAGGATGTTAACATCACCGACACAGTCGAGACCAACATTCGCAATGATCAACACAACCGTGAGATCCAGTCCAAGGAGACTGCCCGCAATCAGATCAAGGAGAACATGAATGTAACAATCACAGACACTGTCGAGGGAGATATTCGCAAGGATCAGCACACTCGTGAAGTCAAGTCCAAGGAGACAGCTCGAAACCAGATCAAGGAAAACACAAACTTTGATATGGCCCGCTCACTCTTTGGAGGTGGCGGCGGCGAGGAAGAAGAGGAGGAGGAAGAAGAAGAGTAAACTCCGAGACAGATAATGGTGGAGACCTTCCTCATTTTGGTTGTGGCAGGCGATTTGTGCTGATTCGTGGTTTAAAGGAAGGATTTTGTGTGAACCCCATTGTGCGCAAGATGGAGATGATCGTTTCACTGAGTTAGGAGACAAGGGTACATCAATGAATAATTTACTAAGAAGGACACAAGAAAATTACCGAGGTCACATGCGAAGGTGGGAAGTTCTATGAATTTGCTGCGGTCAGAATCAAGGCTGTTGGACCAAGAAAATCACGCTGTGGGTCAAGGTCTAAATCGCGCCCGTCTCTGTTGCTTGCCAGGCACCTGAAGAATGAATAGTTGTGACTGTAGCCAGATTGAAGAAAAAGAGTTTACCCCGTTCCAAGTGTGCTCGGGCTTCAACGAAACCGATGTCAAGTGCGGTAGTTTCTCTCTGGCGTTTGAATTCAATCGTTCTCAACAAGTCCACGGTGCCTCCCCTTAGAGGATTGCCGACAGTTTTGTCGGGAATTGCAAAATTCGAGAATTCCAGGTTGCTCAGTTCCTCCTGAAGTCGCATGGTAGTTTGCAAAATCGTCCCCTCTGTCAACTTTCATTATTTTGTAGCACTTGCATCTCCTCCTTGACATGCGCCAGTTGCTCATTGAGACAATTATTAGTCAACTCACAAGAGGAAACTGAAGGAACGACGAAAAACAGCCTTCACTTTTTGCAGCACAGGGGAGACTGGTTCCATGAATCCCATTGCACTAGCATGCCACATCTTCGCGAAAGCGTTCGCTATCTGGAATGGAGCCGTAGCAGCGCCTTCAATGTAGCGCTCGTGCCACTTGTCAGAATGTTTTACACCCTTACTTTTCCATCTACCAGATAGGTCGGTTTGTAGGGACTTTTGTCCACAGCAAAGGGTTGCTCCTGAGGTGTGTCCAGTGAGCAACTCTTAGCCCTTTTGGATGCAGACTGTGCTGACATCTGCCACGGACTCTTTCTAGGTCGCGGGGTTGTTGGTCGCCTTATTGGGCCAAAGCAAACTGGGCTGGGAGTTTATTCCTCTCATTAGGCACTCTAACTCCCCCAACTGGAGTTCATTGTCAAAATGTGCTTGTGCGGTACGAGCGCAACATTCGACCCGGGACGGCCTAGTCATTGCAAATGCCAATGCCGTCGATGCTACCGCTATCATTGTAACAGGTACCAACAGTGCCAAAGAAATCTCGGTTTCCATTTTTTTTATAAATGGGAACTGCCAAGAACAACTCTGCTCAACAACATCCTGTGCCTTGGAAACTCTATAGCTCGCGAATCACCTTCATCTGTATCCGCATTGTTACTTGCTTGTCACATTGTCTTGCTGATTTCGGTCGGTCAGTGAACTGCGAAAGAAACTGTGGGGCAGTGTTTTCTGCTTCCCTTCGCATCCAGCTTCCATGGACTTGTAGGAATGGCGAATGGCATGCCCCGCAAGGACGAGGGCCCGGTAGTTCCCATCATACTTTCTGACGAACACATCGCAGCGAAACAATTTCTTCACATCAACGGAATCGCCGCCGTGGTAAGGAAAATTGTACCATTTCAAGACGTCTAATGCGCTCGTGCGGGCAACTATCTCTGCCTAAAACTGTCTTCAGAAGATTTTTCCGCTGCCCTCGATCATTCAGACAAGAACGACCTTCTTGGGTGTTTCTTCGAGCGATGCCAACCCAAAGCTACCAGTAGCTAGCTCTCTAGAGCTCATGACATCGCGTCTTGCAAAGACAACCCACGAGCCGTGATTCTTCTTCTTGTTGACACCGCTCAGGAAGCATGCCATCGCCCAGCTCGCGAGGTTTCTTTCTCGGTATGATCTTTTTCCTACCACAGCAAAGGGGCTCCCACGGTAATGGCTTGCAGTAAGAATCTTTTGGCTTACGCGGCTGCAAGGTCACCCGATGACCCAACAACTGGCTCATTTAGGAAAAATGGATCCTTCTTAGAGATTGTCCCTGTAGGTTTCGCGTTCAAGTTTGTACCAGCAGCCATATCTTATTTGGGTCTTGACTTCAGCCGCCATCAAGCTCTTTCGTCACAAATTTCCATTTGAGGTTTCCTCTTGTTGTTTGTATCCTTTTCTTTTGCTATTCCATCAAAACTAAAACCAACTTCACCATGGCGGATCTTATGTTTTCAATGGGCCAGACCAAGGGCAAGAAAAAGACTGCCAAGAAGGTCAAGGATACCAAAGCTGCCATGAAGGATGTTACCATCACAGAAACGGTCGAGACTAACGAGCGCAAAGCACAGCACTCCCGTGAAATTGAATCCAAGGAGGTAGCTCGCGAGCAGAAGAAGAAAAACATGGATGTGACAGTTACAGAAACAGTCGAGACTAATGAGCGCAAAGCACAGCACTCTCGTGAAATTGAATCCAAGGAGGTTGCTCGTGCACAGAAGAAGAAAAACATGGATGTCACCATCACTGAGACAGTTGAAGGTGATGTTCGTAAGGATCAACACAACCGTGAGATCCAGTCGAAGGAGACTGCTCGTGCACAGAAGAAGAAGAACATGGATGTCACCATCACCGATACAGTTGAAGGCGATGTTCGTAAAGATCAACACAACCGTGAAATCAAGTCTAAGGAGACTGCTCGCAACCAGATCAAGGAGAACACCAACTTCGATATGGCCCGTTCCCTCTTTGGAGGTGGTGGTGGTGGTGAAGAGGAAGAAGAAGAGGAGGAGGAAGAGGAGCAGGCTGAGGAGCCCGAGGAGCAGGCGGAGGAGCAGGAAGAAGAGTAAGCACGCTTTGGTTCCAGGATGCTGCCTGTGGGCTTGACACCTTCAGGGGCAAGGACTTTACTGTTGGATAGTGATGTGGCGTTGATTAAGAATAGCGATATTCAATGCATGAATAAGAAACGTGAAAGCTGTGTTTTGAAACTTCTTACCGGTGTTGTCTAGTTGCTAGCTAGCTAGGTGAGGTTGGTCCTGTGAAGCTTTGAGAAATTCAAATGTGTCGAATTGGTTGCAGATCCCTAGCTAGTATTTTACTTTTCTGTCTTTTGGTTCCATGGGATCAACGTCCAATAGGTTGGATATTGGCGCTTACTGCTCAAATTGTTCACCAACGTGGCTGGAATCACAGAAATCGCTGAGCTCAGCACTACCAGGGCGTAAAAGCCAAAGTTATACTTGCCACTGGCGTAGAGAACTGCATGGGCTCCGGCCGGTGGATGCGTCACCCCGAGCTTAACCATGGCACCGATCGCAATTGCTGGTCCCACGGCTCTTCGAAGCCAAGTTGCAAGGATGGACTCTGGAATGTACGTGAACGCCAAAGAAATGGCGCCTGATACAGCCTGACCCAGAATTGCGTTTCGTGGCTGCGATGCTGGAGCAGCAGTAAGCCCATACTGCAGTGTCATCTGCAAAAGAGGAACGAGAGGCAAGCATGGATGAGCCAAGGCAATTGTCAGCCGAAAGTCCACTGTTTAGGGACAAAATCAATCTCCTCACCAATGCTCCGAATGGACCGATCAAGAGGTAGTAGTCTTCATCGGAAAGAATCTTGTAGTACTCGTTCAACGAGGAGAGAACTAGGAGCCCACAGAACGCACCGAGAATGGTCCACAGAGTCTGGCGCAGCGTCATTGCGGGTGGCACTTGTAGATCCCCCCCTCGCCATTTGTGAGACCAAATTCGCAAGGCATGAAGTACTTTGCTCCACTTGGTCTCGTCGGGCGGTGACATGTCATCCAAAGAGATTTCATCGGTCCCTTTACTGGAACTTTCTTTACCTTCTTCCCGGTCCCAAACGTCTAACTTTCCCGTATCCGCAACGTTCACGTCGTTTGATGCATTTCCTTCTTGCACGTTCTTGTGAAAGTCTAGTAAGTTTCGTTTGAACCTATCAGATGCGTCCAGAGTTTGTCGTCGTCGAGATTCCACACTGGCCCGTCGCATTTCTGCGAAAGCTGCTGTGTGACCAATCATCTCCGCTGATGCTCTCAAGTATGCATCGTTAGCTAGGTTTGAGAGCAGATGCGTCGTCTTGTGGGATCTTGCATAGTAAATCACGATTCCACGGTGATCTCTCACGTGATAGGGGACCCCAGTGGCAGCACATAGCCCAGCTTCGATGAGTTTGCCAAGGCGATCTGTCTTGGCGGAATCTGGGTCTTCTTGTATGGAAACCAAGTCTCGCCAGGTCAACGCATGGGGGTTACTGTAACTGTTAGTGCTTGGTGTGTGAAGATGCATAAAATTCTCTACCGATGGAAAAGTATGTGCAAAGAAGCCACTGCTACCCGATGGCTTGATGATTGCTTGCGTGTTGTGAGGTAGGGGTGGAGCACTGGTGCCCTGTTGGACAGTTTCTGCCCACAAAATCCCAGGCAAGTCAACTCCTAGCGTGATGGGGTTTGGCTGCTCTGTGGCTAGATCCTCCAGAGCCATGTTATTCTGATAGACGATCGTGTTGTGCCACCATCCACTGTTGAGTCTCACCAGCTTGTCATCTTCGAGCGCCCAAACTTCGCAGGCAACGACACCAAAGCTGAATTCACCAGCATCACGAACCGCTCTTGCCAGTCTCTGCTCGTCGAGATTCAGCTCATCTGGGTCGTCAATCTGACTGGCCAAGTGCTTGATCACTCGACGAGCTGCGTGATGGTGATGATGTTCATGATCATGCTGATGGTGACTCTGAGATTGCTCGTCTGCATTATTTTCTTGAGCCACCTGATGATATTTTTCTTCTGTTGCAGGATGCAATGCTTCAATATCCACATTTTCTTCAATATCATGCAAAAAGAAAGTGTCCTCGCCACCTTCATTTTCATTTTCAGTTAAGGGGGGAGGAGCGGGTGCTTGACTGTTGCTTCTGGGAACATTAATCAGCTCATCTCCAATGTCGGCAAGGTTAGATGGAAATTTGATGTTTGGAGGCATTCTTTCCTTCTCCGATTGATTTGCAAAGTTATAATTTAGTTGTAGGTAAGCTTGCAATAACAACAACCTCGCTATGCTACCCACTGGCTTGGTGGTTTTGATGTTATTGATGTTCCAACCGTATGGATGATTGGGATGGTTGGGATGATTGGATTTTGTGTTTTGTGAGCATGTGAAGCTCCGATTTGCACTTGCGGCCGAGTGGTGTCAGGTGTCAGGAGCAAGAAAAATGATGTCATCTAAACGCGAACCTTTCCAATTGATAAGAGAAGCCTTTCAGACAAGAAAGCAGAATGATAACCGGTACCGTACCACAGTAGAGTTGAGGATTTCATTTGCTGACTCAGGCACAAAATAGACTGTGTCAATTGCCTCACTCGACAGAATGATGAATGATGGATCGAATCCAGAACAAACGCAGCGATGCATCAACCGATTCCTTGCCATTCTTCCCTTGTCCTCATGGGAGCCTCTCGCTGTCTCAGCTTTGTCATCGCCATGATGTGGCTACGACGCAATTCTTTAGAATTTTGTGGAGAACAAATAGTTAGAGTGTGACTAGTCGATGACTTGTCAATCCTCTTCACATCTATCTTTTGTTGCATCCAATCCCAAGGAACATCCTCATTAGTTGAAGTAGTCAAGGAAATCGTAGTTTGCATCATGTCGAGCGCGGCTATCAACGATGGCGCCCTTCACGGTGTTGGCGAAACGCCTTTTGTAGAGGCATCATCCATTTCCGGATCCTTTGGGATCAGCTTCAATTGTTTGGATCCACGCGTTGTATCAGGAAGTGTAGGATCAGTTGTTTCGTCCGTCGTGTCTCAGCCCTTCGAAGTGGCCAAAGTAAAGCTTCAAAACAGTGACCAACCCAGAGTATTGGGGTGGTCGAAGAATCGCGCTCCCGGAACTTTCTCCGTTCTTCGACATGTCATGGCCAACCAAGGTGTCCGAGGAGTTTATGCTGGTTTGGCTCCTACCATGGTCATGTCCATACCGAACTACGCCCTCTATCTCACAGCCTATGACGAAATAGTCTCGTATTTGAGGACGAAACAGTCTACCGGTACGGTACTGTCGAATGATGGCACTGTCCCACTCGTCGGGGGTGCCGTAGCACGTCTAATCGCCACCACAGCAGTTGCACCGCTGGAGATGCTGAGGACTAGAAATGCCTCCCAGAGGCTCCCCACCAGAACCAATCCCAATCAGAAACTGGGTCTCGTTGGCAACGTTAGTGTGTGGAATGATTTGAAGAACATTGTCAGGAAAGAAGGAATCGTATCCCTCTACACAGGTATCCTCCCTTCACTGGGACGTGATGTACCGTTTGCAGCAGTCTACATGCTGTGTCTCGAGCGAATTCGAGACGAGAGTCGACGCATCTGGATGGTAGACGAAGCTATCGCGTCTTCTCCCCGTCATCCAACACAGCTCATAATGTTTGAGTTCATCAATGCCGCCATGGCGGGAATGGTGGCAGCCACAGCTACCGCGCCAATGGATGTTTTGAAGACTCGGGCGCAATCCGCAATATATGAGGACAACACAAGGTCTTCATCGAGCCAGAACAGAGAATCGACAATGCGCGTTCTTCGGTCCATTGTGAGAACGGAAGGTGTTTCAGGGCTCTGGAGAGGAAATCAAGCCCGAATGATGAAAGTAGCCCCGCAATATGCCATCATGATATCATTCTACGAGGTAGGGAAAAAGATGTTGGCTGAATGAGAGGAACGTGTGGACAACTCGCCACTGCAGAGGTTGAATCGCTTTTGAAAGGTTCCCTGGCACGGTCAAGAGCGAGATCACTACCAGTACAAAGTAGGCAACTGCTTGAGTCAGAGTCCACTACTTAGCAACAAATGTGTTGATGTTGTTGAAGAACGTTTGTGCAGTTGCACATAGGCTGCTAATGATACTTAGTCGTCGCTGCGTAAGTGTAGCAGCCCTCACGGGCATCCTTTCAAGGCACCGGTAGATGTACCTTACGGCACTGTACGGTACGGTACGGTACGGTACGGTACGGTACGGTACAGCACGGCACCGGTAGGTGTGCTGCACCACCATGGGTTGAAGAACTCAAAGAAGAGGTGCAATGGGGAGAGCCTGGCTCCATCCGCAATGGCAGATTGCACAATCTCATCGAGGCTTGCAGGCACCAATCCAATTGAAAGCAGCTGAGCGCTGTTGCCTGTTGCCTCCACAAAACTGAAAACCAGATTTTGTGATTTGTGAATGACTGGGGTAGGGAAAGGCACGTCTGAAGGTGCAATTCCCCTTCAAGATTTAACAAAATCTTCAAGATTTAAGCTTAAATCTCGTTCTGCTAGAGAGCTGACTACTCAATCCAACACAGTGGCTGGCTTGAGGTGCTCGATCCACTTTTTCCAGCATACGCAACTCAATTTTTCAACCTCTGAAGCTCGTTGAGGAATGGTCCTTGGCACCTTGCTTCCGTGTTTCCATCCTGTTACCGTTGTGATATCCCTCTGCAAAGTATCATAAAGAAAGATCAGGCAGCTGGGACTATCAATGAAATGAAATCATTTGGATGGTTTCCGGCACTAACCTTGCTGTTGAGCGCTGCAAATGGTCAAGAGTTGGAGGGAACCTGCACAAACCACCATGAAAGTTTGGCTTGTTTGCCAGCGCAGACTCTCACATCGCGTTGCAAAACCGAGATGTGTCTTTCCAAACCAACCTCAATGACATTTGTATACACTGGAGGTGACTGCAAGCACAGCTATCATCTGCAAAAGAACTCCCATTTCTTCTGTCTTGATCATAACGAGAGTGGCGCACCCACCCACCTCGGGACGCAATCTTTCATCCGGGTCATAGATACGACCGGCGACGGCAATACTACATACCATTCTGGCTGGGTGCGTGTAGGCGAGACATTCACATTATTCAACAATGGCCACGAATTTGATGATAGTCTTGTTATTACGATTTCTGCTTCTGCCTCGGATAGTAACATGACCTTACTGCAAGAAATCATATACCAGTCAACCTGCGACGGCAACTTGTTTCTTTGTGATCGATTTGGATCTGTTGAGCTATGTGGAATCGTCAATGAACAGCAAGGAGTCATCGACTCTTGCCCCAGTTCGGTTCAACATTAGATGCCAAAGAAGGAACATTGGAAGCTAGCTAGCTATCAGCTGAGAAATGGAGTCAAAGTTGCGACAACGATAAGAGAGCCAGACAAGAAATGGTGGCCACCGTACCAATGCCGTCGCAAAGACTGTAACTCTATTCAAGTAAACAACAAATAGAGAATTCAAGTTATCGTTATGAGCTGTAGTCGCCTCGCATAGTGCAATCTTCTCGTCGAATGATTGAATCATTCAATCTTTCTCAAAGACATTGACTCTGGTTGGAAAACTTAAGGCTAGCATTCACGTCGTTGCATTTGGATGTATTGATACGGTACGGTACAGTCGTACCGAAGTGGAGTAATAGTAGCAGCTTTGCTCTCGTAAAGTTAAAGCAAATTATAACAGTCCTACTTATACCGATTGATTGATTGATTTTCCTATCATCTCTTCCTTCTATTGTGTTTTGTTTGTTGCGTTGTTGGCGTTGAAAGCAAGATGTCCGAAAAAATTGCTAACAGACAACTCCTAGTAAACACTTACTTTCTTTACTTGAGGAGTGAATCCAAACTGTCCGAGACATCTGCTAGAGGGTCGGATGATTCTCCTGATTCGTCGTCCGAGTCACCAGATCCCAAGTCGTCCAAGGAGTCACCCAAGCCCAAGACGATGTCTCTGGCGGCTTCTTCCCGTGCCTTGCGCTCTGCTTCCATGCGTTGGTGGTACTTTTCGGCTGTTTCCTCTGCCTTTTCAAAGACCAAGGCGGGATCCTTGAGCATGTCACCTGGTTCTGGTTCCAACGTCTTGGTGGACAATGCAATACGTCCATTCATCTTGTCGTGATCAATGATCATGCACTTGACTTGCATTCCTGGTTGCAAGACCTTTTCCAAATCATCGATACGATCGTAACTGATTTGTGAAATGTGCAAGAGACCAGACATGCCTCCCACTTCGACAAAGGCACCATATGGCTTGAGTGCCTTGACAAGACCTGAAACGAGATCTCCACGGCTGAGATCAGCCATTTGTTGTTCGACGACGGCCTTTCGGTTGCTGACGACCAATTTGTTGGCTTCTTGGTTGACTTCCAAGAACTTGAGTGGGAGTGTCTGTCCAATCAAGTCTTCCGTGGGGAGCTGTCCCGTGAGGTGACTTCCCGGCAAGAATGCTCTCAAACCTTGGACTAGACAAATGGCTCCACCACGGTTGACGGCGACGACTTCGGCTTCCAAGACGGCATCCTCTGTCTGCAGGGCATTGACTTTCCCCCATGCTTCTCGGTACTGGATACGTCTGATACTGACCATCAATTGTCCATTTTCGTCCTCATCCGAGATGATTTGAAAGTCTAATTCGGTGTCCAAATCGACCAGATCGGAAATGTCGTCTCCTTGTTTTTGGATGAGGGCCGCTTCATTTTGTGGCAAAAAGGCACTTGCTTTGGCCCCAATATCGACGATGCATCCTCCATTGGGTTCGTATTCGATGCATGTTCCCTTGACGATGGAATCACGTTCAAAGGAGTATTCAGTTTCGGCCACCGCCTTGTCAAAATCGGCGTAGGAGAAATCGACGGAATCATCGCTGAGAATGGGCATGGGTCCCTTGTACGCAGCCTTCAGTCTGTCGAAGCGAGTGGGTGTTTTGGCTTTGACAGCGGTGTCTTCCATGGTAGCCACCATATGCAACTGGGTTTTCCTGTTTTGTTTTGGGGCAATGGCAAGGGAACAAAAGAAAAAATCAATCAGAACGCAAAAGGGTCCACTATATCTCTGATCTTCCTAGAACAGAACCAATATACCCAGCACTACCCTGGTGCTCTCTGGTGATTGCTGGTTCTCTAGAATCTGATTTCTGTGGCTGCCAACACACCAGTCACCACCAAGGGGCTACTCTTGATTGACTGGTACGGTACTCACCCAAATCGTGAGGCTGGATCAACCGTAAAGGCTGAAGCCGAAGCCATAAAGGCGACAAAGGCTGCTGCTCGAAGCTTCATCATCCTACTGTTTGTGTTATAAAGTGATGTCGATGTGATGCGATGGTGATTGATGAGCCGCAGCGATGTGTTCGTTGCTGTTGCCTCTATTACTATTGAAAGAGCTGGAAGGTTACCACTTGGATGACATGTGTTTTTCTCAAGCTGTTACCAGGTACCGCTGACGCAATTCTTCTGGCTCTTCGAGCGAGGGGATGGACGGAGCTGCGTTAGGTTCTCGGGCTTCATGATGGCCCTCCCGCGAAAAGGGTGGCTGCCAGACCGTCAAGTACGTCAGTCTGGAGATTAGTCACGAGTTAGCCAGTCAAGAGCTAAAACAGATTTAACGCTAATCAATAAAGACTTAAGCATTTCATAAAAATAGATTCTCCTCTGCTTTGAATTCACCTGCACCTCCGCGTTGAAGTTGTCAAGCTTCAAAGAAAAACAGGAAGCAACAAACTGGCTGAAGAGGCCAAGAGAAAAGGAGATCATCCATTTATCTGTCTCTACTTTGTGCCCCAAATAGCATTCCAACTGATCAATCATCCAGAGTACGGTCATTTCATTCCACTCCATCCCATCAAGCCACCGATTTATTTGCCACAGAAAAAGTTGACGGAAAAATAATGAACTTTCGGGTCTGTTCTTCCTTGATGTTGGTATGGCTGAATGGGGCCACTGCATTTGTCCTGCAACCCCAGCAGCAAGCCACCAGTCTGACACAGCAACAAGCTAGAAGACCTGCTGCCGCATCGAATAGAGTTGATTTGTGGAAACTCTATGCATCTACCAAGGACGGAGATGATGCGCCACCTGAAATTCAGCCGCTCACAACATCCTTTGATGATGCAGGGAGTGCCATCATTGATGAAGAAGATGAAGAACGAATGAAGTCCATGGGTGATTTCGATACCACTTCTGTAAGTACAATCTAGATATTTGGATGATTGTAGAAGACTACATTGTATTCTGCTCAAACTTCCTGTTGGTCCAACCATGCTGGGCATATCCTCATCGCTGCTCCTACTCTTTCCTTTTCCCTTGGTTTGGTATCCATGCAACCTAATAGGGTTCCCAAGAAAACATTCAAAACATGAGAGCTGCCATTCAGGAGCGAGCAAAATCGCTGGGATATGAAAAGTCCAAAGTCAGTCAACAATACATTGAACAGGCACAAGCACGAGCAAGAAACCAGGCTGCCAACAGAGCCGCGGGAGGTGGATCTAACTTGGATTTGAGTCAAATCTCAACAGGAGATGAACCAAAGAAAAAGAGCGATTGGGATGAAAGCATGCCAGCTATGATGTACGATCCTGCCGATGAATTGACGGAGGAAGAACAGAAGGAAGCCGACAAGGTGGGACAACTGCCCATTTGGCAACAATTCATGGAAGAAGTACAGGCATCTCAGTGGCCCGATCTAGGATCTGTCATTCGAGAAATGGGAGTCATCGCTGCCGTCGTCGTGGTCACGGCCGCACTCATCATCAATTGGGATGGATTCTTGCGAACTTTTTACACAGATCTAGGCTTGATCCCTTCCCCCGAACAAACAAACGAACAAGTCCTAGATGTGGATCTCATCCCAGAAGGATTCACCAACAATATGAATGAAGACGATCTGGCCAAGATTACGCAAGAAATGAACGCCCGTGGATCCAAGAGTCCGTCAGTAGAGAAACTGCTCGATTCGGCATCGCCGCTAAACCCAGATTTATAGAAGATAAGGGAAATGAAGGCATAGCACGACATGACATGATGATTGAGAAAGACATGTGGAGAAAAGAGAAATAGAACCAAATGATGCACAACCTCACCAAACAAGCCTAATACCCGTTGTAGACGAACTCACATTCTATGCAACTTCCATATTTTGGAAATCACGATTTCTGCAACCCTCCACTGATCATACTGCAGCAGGTCAGCAGGTACCGGTACAACTGCTGTGCAGCTAAAGAGCGCCTGTCTCCTCAACCAGCCCATCTTGCATCCTGACGTCACCTACGAGACTACTTAGAAACCGAGAATTCAACAGCCTAGCTATTTTGTATTGGGCTACTCGAGCGCTACTGTGGTCGTCTCGTACTGTGGGCTGATGAAGACGAGAATGAATGCGTCGCTACAGTGCGGTAGACTACTAAGTAGTCATTCATTCTGCAAATCATTCATTGTCTCACGTTGTGGCCCCAACTTAGGTGGATAGAGCAGTATACTGGCCATTTCCCTTCACCCTTCTGTAGAATCCGGTATATGCTTCTGCGAACGTTTAATCACGATCGTAGATATAGGTTGCTGTAGAGTCCGTTCCCGAGATGTATGCTTCTGCGTACTCATGGTCGCAGCGGCCAAACTTAGATGGAATTGACCACAGCGTCTTCGTTACGAACACCAAATAGCACCCGCTGCTTGCCATTTACTCCGGTGTCACTTCAACGAGCTGCAAGTTAGGCCACCAGTTCTGGAGCAACAATTTCCATTCCCCGTCCACTTTGCGCATTCCAACAAGTTCCATGGCATGCCTCTCCATGTTTTCAGTCGTAGCAAAGGTGCCCTCAAAGCATTCAAGATGAACATTGCCGTCACCATCAACCCCATTAGCATTTTTGAACTTTCCCTCAATGGCAAAGTAGTGAATCAGGCCGGGTCCATACAACTCGAGTTGTTCAAAAAGCTCATTGGGATACTCCTCCTTGCTTTTTTCCATCAAATCCATTTCAAACTTCATGGAAGACATCCTCTTTCCGGCTATCATTGTCCGCAGCTCTTGCTCTGCATTACCACCCTTTTCTTCAATGATGTACTTTGAAACCTTCTCAGCACTGAATGAATGGCGAAAAAACTTGGAAATGTCCACCACTTGGAGTTCTTCATTTCCCTGCAAGCAATAGGACTGTAGAACAGCCGCTGCATGCAAAAAGCAGCTTCCGGCACGCTGCACTCTTTGGATGAACTTGGAACCATAATCCTTGAAGGCATTCCATCCCTTAGATCCTTGGTCAGTCTTGTAGTCTCCTTCCTCTTGCCCGTAAGCCATAGCAATCAAATACCAAGGCTTGCGGGGAACATCCCCCGCTGTCATTTTCAGTTGCCTGTCGAGCAGAAGAGGGCGTTACCGGGGCGGCACCCTCCTTTCTCGCTGCTTTGTCGGTGATCATCTTCTTCACCAGACAAGTGTACGTACGGCAATGGACTTGCCTGCAGAGTGCGGAGATGGGCTGCAATGGAGAACTCTTATTTAACGGATGCTGCGTGAAACTAACGGCTACTAGTACCAGTAGTTTCATCTTTGCCCAGTTGCAAGAGATAGACTAGTACCGTAGAACAAGACCAAGCTAGCTAGAGCAAAACTTTTTCTTTCTATTATACAATTCGCTGAGCCCTACAATTTGCGTATACCGTAGCAAAGGATCAACCGATTCCATTTGTTCAATTCTGTTAGTTGCTGTAAACGTTTGCAGCTTCGAGGGCGTCGCCTTCCCCCATTTTCCTTGCGAATCTCGATGCCGCTCGACACAAATTCTTGTACCTGGCACCGAGAACCTTGGCCCGAATGGTGGGCTCAAAGTCTTGCAAGGTATCCTGTGCATCCAACACATTGGCAATGATTCGGGCACGCCGATCTCGTACCGTCTCCAGAATGTCAACTTCCAATCCTCTCGAAGGGGCCCCCGCCACGCGGGCAACCGCATCTGGGCCGAGTGGCACATTGGCGGCTTTGGAGCAGTTGCCCCATAGCTTTCGAACGGCCCGCTTATAGTTTCGATCGTTGGAGAATTTGTCATAGACGCGATTTTCCCGTTGATAAATCCTATCCAGGTCATCTTCTGACCACCACAATGCCCGCGAATCCGTCCTGGAGTTCTGAGCTCTAATGTAGTTGACCCGTCGCTTGATCCGGTTCTTGTGATCCAATTCAAATCGAACCGTGCCTTTGCCATTCTGATTGAGCTTGCAAAGACTGGCGCGTCGGGATTGTTTGGGCGATCTGGTCACCAAGTTGGCACCGACGGGCGACTCCGTTCCTTCCTCATTGGAGCAGCTGCCAATTGTGTTTCTCCTGACCATTTTCTTCCTGTTCATTTTAGGGCTGTGGTTTGTTTTTGGGGGTGCGATTGGTGGAACCGGTAGCTTGGTCTCGTCGTTGGCCACATCCGTTTTGTTCGCTCTTGGTTTCGATAAAATCGAAAGACTGGATCGCCGTTTCAGAGATCCTTGTCGTTTGGGCTCAGGAGGAGCACTCTCCTCTTGTTTGGTCCCTGCTTCCTCATCACCGATATCTTTTGGTTCTTTGGCAGCCGTGCAACTTCCAATACTGGCACGGCGAGGACGGGACTTGCTCCTTGGTGGCAACAGCAGCAGCTGCTTGACAGTACCATTGTTTTGCTTGGAAGAAATGTCGACTTGGGTTTTGCTTCTTGCAGGCAGAATCTTGGTTTTCCCCAACCGCTTCTTGAAAAGAGAGGTTGGTGACAACTCTTCCTCATCTTCTTCTGGGATCACAGAGGGTGTTTTCGACTTGTCGGTCTCGTTGCTCGTACCGGTACGAGACGCTGAGGGCCAACTCTTGTGTCCAATTTCGGCCAATTTGGATTCTGTGGATTTTCGAATAGATCGTCTTCGCTGCGCTACACTGGGCAGGTCCTCTTGAGCAAACGTCCAGCTTTTGTGTGCCAACTCTAAGAACTGCTTTGCATTGCTTGCACTGCTTCGTCGCCTTACAGCTCTTCTCTTGCTGGGAGTTGGTGTTGCCACATCGAACTTGCCAGCCACTAGTCCATCATTGGATGCAGTTGCGACCTTGGCCACAGCCGACGACAGGACTTCAAAGTCTACGTTCATGGTCTTAGCTTGTAGTTGGGTGCTGTTGGGTGTGGTTTGTGTTCTCGCTTGTGGTCCTGACCGTTTGCTGGGCTGCAATCGCAGTCTTAGGTGATCTCTGTTTTTCTGGAAAATGTGAGACGCCATTCTGCCGAACAACTCACATCCTCTTCGCCTAATTCTAATAATCCACTCGGAGTCTTGGCTTGTTAAGCACAGGCTGGAAAGCCATTGGATTATTACACAGCAGTGCCGATTTTAGTTAAGCAATTGGTCATACTTTATTCCTGTCAGACATTCGCTGGCTCATGGTACAGTCAACCACCGAAGGAGACGAATGAGTTGCCACTGAGAGCGTTGGACCACGAGCCTGCACCTCCTGTAAGAAATCGCAATTGAACAATTAGTCTAGTTTTGAAAAATAATAATCACAATTGCTGAGTACCAACAAAACACTGTCTTTTAATGCGCCATGTTTCAAATTTTAACAAAGGTTTAACTTTGTTTTCAAAAAACCAATCATTTACCAAGATGCTGCTGCAAGCAAAGAGGTGCACAAGATCACCGAATGCCAGATCAAGATGCCTCTTGGTTCTTGGTTGCACCATCTCATTCATTCGAACGCTTGCAACGAGGTTCAAGAAGATCACCAATGCCAAATCAAGATGCCTGTTACTAGCTACTACTAGTAGCTCACCGTCTCATGCGTTCAGATTAATTAATTGTCTGCAGACTTCTGCGTTGAAGTACATGTACTCGTAGTGCCGTGCCGGGACTGTAGCGCGCTCAGAATTGAATTCCTCGCCAATATCATAGCTACTGGCACATTGGTACCGAAAGATCCAGCAAGGTAAAGCGTGAGCTTGCATGATGAAGGCATGAAGGCTTCATGTTGGAGGCGACAGGCAATGCGGCACAGGGGCGAGATGGCGAGACACTACGTGATGTTGCTTCTCCGGAAGGAAGAGTAACTGTTGTTGCAGTATTGTGTAAGTCCATCGCCCCTGACGATGAAGCCTGGAGCTATGATATCGATGCTTTGTGTTTTGACTCTTCGGTTGGATACGTACCTGGTACGGGTGCTACCAGAGCTCCGGCTACATGTACATACATGTACAGGTACCACCATTTTAGTAGAGGTTGGAACCGCTGACGCTGGGGTATTGCGTATCGTTTACGCATTACATGTAGCCAGTGTTGGTGGTACCGGTACATGTACTGTACCCCAATAGCTGCCCCAACCCCCAATAATTCGAGTCTCGAGTCAGTCGTATCGGTCCGGGATACACTAACTTTTAGCGTTGCCTACGACGTAGCTAGTACATGTACTAGCTAGCTGGCTAGCTAGCTAGTAGACGCTACTACTAGACTGCTTGTTGCCACATGTACAATAGTATGCATAAATGTACCGTACAGGTAGTCTAGACTAGTTTGCTAAAAAGTATGTGAACTGCTTTGCATGGCAACACATTTATTTGAAACTGATTATTAGTTCTCAGTGGGAGGATTATTATTGGTGGATTTTACCGGTATATGAGATCTCTAGAGGCTGCAAATAAAGGGCTTGAAGCGGCGTCATGAAATCATTATTGCTGCCGAACGAGGACGACAGAGTGGACGGAGAGCCTCAGCTTTTGATAGACGAGCCATTGATTTGGTTTGAAGATCCATAGACATCACTACAATAAGACTACGCAGACAACGATAACTACTAGTACTGCGATGCAACGAGAGATGAGTGGTGTAGGCAATAAAAGTGCTAGAGGAAGTTAGAATTACAAAATAGATAAGCGACATGGTGTCGTCACAATTAACCAAGACAAGACACCCAAGCAAATCTAAGCGGCACTGCCACGGCGACGCTTGGCTGCAGGAAGCTCCACTGGTGTCAAAGATGGCATGGGTGTTCCCAGGGCAAGAGCCGTCCGTTTCATGGGTCGCTCATCAATTTTAGCGTAGAGGTGTTGCCACAGTTGACGACTGGGAGTCAATCCTCCTCCCATGACGGGCATTCTCCTCTTCATCATCAACATATTCATCGCAGGAGGTTGCTGCTGGTGGACCTTGAGATTGCCTTCGCGGTCTTCTTTCTGCACTTGCTGGAGGGCATTGCATAAGGAGAACTTGGTGACCGAGTTTCGGCGTTGATAACGAGGCCGTGATCTTCGGCCTCGCACTTCAAGGTCAGGGAATGCCTTTTGGGGTTCGGGAGACGACGGTCCATAGCCATACAGATCGGCCGCGGCGGAAGAGGATGGAGCCGAGTTGGCTTCTACCTTGGGAGCCTTGTTGGTGCATGTCAGGTCAGGAAGTACAGAGGGGAGTTCCGCGGTCTTCTTCTTCAGTTGTTCTTCCGAAATATCGGCAATAGGGCCAAGTTCTTCCAGAGCAGAGTCGATGCAAGAGACCATGAGCTTCCTCAACGACGCCTTGGTGAGGCTCTTGGTGTTGCTGACGCTGACATTCTCATTGTCGGTCGACTCAGGTGTCAGAGGCTCATTTTGCACGGTAGCGTCCACGGTATTGTTAGAATCGGTCATCTTGAATGAGGCAATGTAGATAATCCAAACTAAAAGATGAGATTAGATGAGATAGAATGAGCAAACAAAGCTAAGAATTGTAGAGACAAGGTCTTCTATTCATGTGATTTTATGGCTGCTTGAACGAAGTCTGAGGTGGTGGTGGATGTTTGCTGCAAAATGCTGACTTTTGCTAACCACCTGTAGCAAAGTCTACCAGCGCTACGAGAGGGTATCGAGCCGGAGCAATGCGTGGCGCACACCAACGAATGTTTCCGTTAAAAAAAAATTCGCCAAATGTCAAGCTCAAGCTAACAGGAAAATGACGTATCCTGGACGTTTATGGCAGCTTGAAGTTAGTCACTGGATATTGCACAACTGTGAATGAGGTACAGATCACACTATAGTCAACTAGAAGTGGACCTCAATGGCCGAATTTGAATCCAAGCCGCTAACTTAATAGATCACCCGTTGGATTTCACACAAGAAGGCTGATGTCTTGGAAAGAAAGACGCAACGATCCCACCTTAAATACTCGTGAATAAAATTCAAGGCTATTTAAGAAAAGTCGAGATCAGGATCACTCCTAAAATAGCCCAAAATTCAAAAAGGTGATCACTAAGACCTCCATCATCAAAACGGAGAAAGAATTAACAAGAGGTAGACCGACGTGATGTTCCCGCTTTAATATATTTTTCAACGGTTGTGTGAAGGGGTTTAGTAGAGGGCGCAAGTGATATAAGAGACGAGAAGGCGTCACGCGTAATGGTTAAGGGGTTCGTTCTTTAGAATGTCTTGGTGGTTGCTCGAAGCCGAAGGCCTGCATTAGTCACCTTCTGCATTCTGCAGATGGCGGCTTTTGATACAAATGGAGCCTTAACCTTAATTTAATTGCTTGTGATCTCGACTCAAACATTGCGTATCTTTAGTGATTGAGAGTGACGACGTGGTTCTTTTGTGACGGAACCAAGTTTTTCGCTTTCGTACATGTAGATCTACCTCTGTTCGGAAGGAAGCAGATCACCTTCCTCTTGCCACCATGTTGTCGGCGAGTACGAATCTTCAATCCTTTTCATTCTGATCCGTGGAGGGCAGCAATTGGTTGGTGCCGTCGTTGTTGGTGGTTGGAGTGACAGCCGAGTCTATCTACATGTAATGGAAGAGAGGACTTTTTGCACTCTTCAGTTTCTTTCTAGCTAGCGGTGCATGGTACTGTAAAGGTATCTGTGGGTATCTTGACAATCTCCTTTGACTTTCGGAATATCTCTTTCCATCTACTGGACAGTCTGGAAGGAGCGGAAAATTATGGTATCTGAAGTAGATACCCCTCCTTTGAGGGACCATGACCCTGATCTTGTCTACCTACGGAACAATGCTGTTCGAAAATTGAGTTTGGAAGATGCCGAGAACGACAATTACTGGTCCACCTCTTTGTATTCCCAACCACCTTTTCTGACATCTTCACGGTGTGTTCACGCCCTTCGAGAACTTTTCGCCACTCCATCGGTTCTTGCCGTTGCGACCGAGTCTTCTTCGCACCCCACCGGTTTGGCATCAGTGCTGGCACAGCCATGGCTCTATGCTGGTGGAGGATTGGGAAATATTGAAGAATGTCCCTTGCAAGTTTGTCTGGCGGGGGCTGGGACCCGTCGGGACTCGATCACTTTTGCCAGTGTTTGCGTCCCATTTGAATGCCACGCAGAAGATTTAGCGGCAGAGGATTTCCCAGCATCCTTGCAACTCGCAGCCACGCCAGTGCTACAATTGGTCAACCATGCGGACGATGATGACAACCCTTTTGAATTAATCGACCATCCAGAAAGGAACAAACCGAGAGATCCCTACACCAACAAGGACACGGTATGGTTTCATACCAGTCCAGAGCAACAGAGGGCTTGGGCGGAAGAATACATTACCTTGCAAACCAGAATTGCAAAACTCAACAAATTCCTGCAGACTGGATGGACCTGTGGCAGTTATCAGGTCCCCTTTGAGGCATTTCCATTTGGAGTGCCCTATCTTTTGGCTTGCGCCTTGCTTATTGGGTTGGCCTTACGAGGGACCTTGGATAGAAGGCAACCACAAGAACAGCTTTCATCAGAGCAGGAGAGTACCTCTTTGCCACCTAAGCAGAAACGGGAGACTTTTTTACTGATTGAAGCGGGACCCAATAATGAAAGCAATCCATTGGTTTGGATGTCATCGCTCCATCGTAAATCAACCGGAAACAAATCGGGTACATCCTCTCCATTGGCGCCCACACAAGAAACGCAATCGTGTGCTTCTCTGTCATCGGATGCATCTTCATCTGACTTGCCAGCTTTGCCCAATGACACGGAAAATCGTGTCGAGCAAACGTCAGGTCTCAGCAATTGTAACAATGACGGAGCAACTGCCTTGAAGAAACGCATCCAGAGCAACTCGGAGGCAGCCACCCACACAGTGGCACCGTCTACTGTCGAAGGCAAACCCAATCCACCTCAAACACTTGTGGAATGCTGGAACGCGTCGTATCACTGGCACAAATTGTGCAATACACGACATGAGGCCACCGCTTGCTTGGATGGATTGAGAGTATTTAGCATTCTTTGGGTGATTCTTGGTCATGTCATGGCCATTGAGTCCAGCTCGGGTGGAGGATATTCCAACCCGGTTGACTTCTTGCCGCCCAATGGACTCACAACCACCTTTCTGGGGCAGTTGATCTTTGCCTCTCGATTTGCCGTGGATACCTTTTTGGTTATATCGGGATATCTCTTGGTGATTGTCATTGCCCGCAAGGCGCCCTCCTTGTGCAACAATGGCAAGCGACGCTGGTCTACCTTTTTCCAATTGATTGGTTTGCGGTTGCTGCGCATCTTGCCGCTCTACCTGCTATGCATCGGGTTTTTCACTCAAGTGGCGCCTCATATGTATCTCGTCGGCGAAGAAAACGACGGTGGTGGACCCTTTTGGTACCAATGGGATTCACTCCTTCAACCATGCCGTGACTCGGGATGGACCAATCTGCTATTCATCAACAACTTCCTGCCATGGGAAAAGTCCAACACAGAGACATGCTTTTATCATTCGTGGTACCTGGCAGTGGACATGCAACTCTTTGTATTGTTTGGTTTGCCAGTCACCTTTTTCATCTTTCTGGCGAATCCTACTTGGGGGAAACGCACCACTCTCGCACTGTGGTGCACCAGTGTCCTCTTGACGGCGTATCTGTCGTACGTTCGTCACTGGAGTATCAATACATTCGATGGATTGCAAGTGACACGATTTGATATCGAAGGATACGCAAAGCCTCATGTGCGAGGTCAAGCCTATTTTGCGGGAATGTACGTGGCAATGCTGCAACTGACCAAGAACCAGCGCGGCGCTGCTCGTCCATCAGCATGGAAACAGAGTGCCTTGATGTGGTGTGCCATTCTCTCCTTGGGAGTCATCACCTTTTGTACGGTGACGGGAGCGTATGCGCGTCGTCCATGTCAGTACAGCGAGGCGCCTGTACTGAATGACGACTGCGGGTCTCTTTGGAGTCCCTGGGCTACGTTTCTGTACACAGCAACTAGCAGAGCTATTTGGTCCTGCTGCATTGGTATTTTGATGACTCTTTGTCTGGAAGGGAGAGGGGGTTGGCTGAACAATTTTTTGTCTTGGCCGATTTGGTCTCCCTTGGCCCAACTTTCCTTTGGTACCTACCTGATTCACCCGATTGTTATTTTCGTGTGGCTCCTGGGAATGCGTGAGAAGAATGTGTACAGTTTGGCAACCTTTGGCATGTCACTGACGAGTGTGTGCGCCGTGAGCTTTGCCTTTGCGTTGGTCGCTGGACTGCTGGTGGAGTTTCCCGTAGCCTCGTTGATTGCCATGCAAATCAAGAAGAATCAACCGCGAAGACCAGAGGCGAACAACAATACCAACGACAGCAACCAGGATGCTCCGGTCAGCATTGGAAGATCCGACCAGGAAACTACCCGCCTTGTGCCAACTGACCATAAAGAAAAGGTCGGCTATGGCGCAGCGTCATGAAACTTGCAACTTCAATAAACTACTAGACAGCACATCACAGCACAGAACGCAACGAGAACAACAACGAACAAGAAATAGACCGTGACGAGCATCCCGCTAGCTAGCTCCAAATTGAAAGAACATACATGTAGATAAAAGTAAAGCTTAATTCAAGAATAAACAACTTATTCATGTACTAGTTAGAATGAAGTTTGATCTTGCAGCTGAATGCTACCTGTGCCATCCAAGGAACTAGCAACTAGCTAGCTATATAGCTAGAATGCCACATCGTAAAAAAAATGAAAAACGTACGGTACTAGTACTGTAGAACTGTTCGTTGCTTCACGTTTGTTTCAAGTCCATCCACCAAGTAAGTCTCAGGCCCCAAATGCCGGAAAACAGATTGTTGAATTGACATTTTTTTAAAATGTGATCCTCCACCTGCTGTACCACAGAGGTTACTCCAAAAGTCTGACTAGTCTAACTAAGCTGTGGGTTGTTGTTGTTGTTGCGAAGAGGCATTGTCCGTTGCGGGTGCGGTCAGATTCTGTTGTCCCCAAACATTCCTGTCGACCCATTGTCGGTAAAACCTTTGAATATCTGTAAAGCAATGTTTCCCTTGATAGCCAGGGATTTGATATTCGTTGTAGAAAACAAGGTGAATTGCTGTGGCGGATGTGGCAACGTAGGTAGCCAGTTTCCTACAATAGCAAGGAGGGCAAAGAAACAACAAATATTAGGAGTGCTCCGTCACAATACTCGAAGCAGAAATTCTTGCTCTCCGTTGCTTCCTCTGTTTGACCTGGCAACATACCACTTTCGCAGGGCATGTTCACTGAGCACCATTGTGACGATGTTTTATTCTATCTATCTTTATAGCAGGTCTTCTCGGTCTTCCGCTTTCTTTCTTCGTCGCCGTCTCGTTGACTCTGTGCGTTAACGCTGTGTCTTTGTGGCTTCACTCGGGTTGTGTGGTGGCTGCGGCTGCGAGATGAAAAGGCTTCTTGTGGGGGAGGGCTGACGCATTTATGTGTATCTTTTGGCCTTCCCACGCATCAACTCGAGTGTCAACAAACTGATGCCACCAAATCCAACAACCACAACAATTATTAAGCTGAGGGCAAGGAGTGAAAGCATTGCAATTCAAATTCGTCTAAAGGAGAAGCAGAGTAAAAATGAAGATTTCTGGCTGGCCTCTTCCAAGTTCCCTTTGGCTGTTTGTTCTGTTTTCAGCAGCAGCGGTTGTGGAAGCCGCCAAGTTTTCGGTGAATGGGCCCGTTGTCACTCTTACACTCAAGGATCCTCAAGACACAACGACAGAAGCTTCCAGCACTGATGAATTTTCTACCACAACAGCTGTGAAAACACCCTCGACATGGATTGACGTTGGATCCCTTCATCCCAATCTGTACTGGACGCTGCAAAGCAATGCTCCCCCCCTTCCCAATTGGCTTCCTTTTTGGAAATCGTTGCGGGCCAATGTAGGCTACAAGTACGAAGACTTGAAGCGACTGCCATCCTTTGTCGAAGCCGACTTGAAATTCCGATCCGAACGCTTGAATGCCGAATTGCAAGTACAACCATCCTACGAAATCAAGGCCAAACGAACCAATCTACTCGTGCAGGCGTCGCGAGGAACCTCCTTTCTACTGGCACGGTTTTCCGTTCACCAAAAAATGAAGAAGCTGCGAGACGATGACATTGAATGGGAAGTCTCCGAATCTACAACAACACCATCCTCAACTTCCCATCATTCGCCATCGTTGGAGTTTCTCCGGGCCAGTTACAACATGCAGTTCCCAGCCAGTGCATCCATCAGCAACTTGCGCATCACACCCAGCTTGGATGTCACCAAAATGGAACCGAGCTGTGTTTTAGAGGGAGTCACGGGTCGAAGCAAGGCCATTCTCAAACTCAACTATCAAAATCCCACACTGGCAGTAGTGCACGCTATCGATGAACGAAATACCATTTCACCCGAAATCTCGCTCTACAATGCCCGCATCCTATACCAATGGCAGGTGCAACTGGGCCCCGGATCATCACTGCGCACTCGTGTCGATCCAACTTCCGCCATTGATGTGACGTGGACCGATACGAGTGCCACAGATGGGGGACGATGGGTCACAGACTTGAGATTGCCACTCGAAGGAACTACCATACGGGCACTGGCATCCGATTTGAGAGTCCGGAGGCAGTTCAACTTTTAGTGCTTGCTAGCTAGCTAGCAGTGGGTTAAAAAAAACTCTGAATCTATAGGAACGGATTCGGTTCAGGCAAGAAATGCTTGAGGACGACCCATGAGCCAATGCCCAGGTGTTTCCCACATTCAAGTCTGCTCACCATTCACACACGGGCTTCCTGAGAGGGTGTGACGAGTAGTGTAACGTGTTAAAAAAGAAAGTAAATTGTAGAAACGTCACTCGATATTACGGGAGGAACAAAATTTGTGCTCTGTCCTTTCCTCCGTGGAGAGGACGTACCAAGGCTTCCGGATTGATCGTCATTCGAATGTGCATTGATACGGAGGATGCCTCAGAATGCTGTCACAAGCCCACCAAGAGCCAATGTACTACTCAGAGTATTAGACAAACTACATGTATGCATAACTGCTCTCCGCGGTGCGAAGGCTGAAACCTCCGGAGTGAATGAGCGGATCGCAGCACCAGGAGCCACTTCAGGGCGAAGCCAGAAAACACGTTGTGCTAGTGAGGATCGAGTTTCTTCTCAAAATTGAGGTTTGTTTGCCTCCAAGAATTTCTTTGATGCTAACTAGCTCGAACACATTTATTTGGTGTTGTCTCACAGTTACCGGTACGTTGAGAGGAGGGCACAGCCAGGACCACCCACGGCCGGGAAGAACGGAATCGAATCAATAAGATTTGGTTTTGTGCGAATCGAATCGCCAACAGTGTAAAAGATGGAATTCACCAGGCATCCTGTTACTAGGAAGTTTTGCGCTACCTACCCATGCAAGACAACAATTATTGCTTGCCAATTGGAAGCCTATTCCCCCGATTGGTAGCAAACGTACTGAAAGCAAGCTCAAATACAACACATTGTCACGGTTTTTTGGTTGTTTCTTGGCTGCACGACGCCATCGAGCAACCGGTGCCGTACCGGTACGACTGAGCTTTAGTGAGCTGGTGACCAAGTTATTGTTTCGCGCGCAGGCGAGACCCACTTCGAGCACCTCCAAACAAAGAATCATTCCCACCTCAATCCGCTTCCCACATCGGAAGTATCAAAGTCATCACTTCTTTGAAAAGTATCAACCATTCCCGAGTCAACAATCGATGAAAGGTAGGTGCAAAGGGAAACGAGAGTCTGGAAATCTGTCTAAATGCAGCCACGGTACGACTTGGCTCCAAACCGGCTGAGAGCCAGTGATGAAAAATGCTTTGCCACCATCAATGGTGAGTGTGTGAGTGGTGAGGAAAGGTGAATGGACGAAACAACATGTGTGTGCGGCGAGGTTCCAACATGGGAAGGCGCCGCCACGTGTGAAGGTTCCGATAAAATGGGAAGGGATAGTTCACGTCTACGCTGCAATAATAAGGCAGTTCGGTGGTACTGTATGCGTACCAGGTAGGTACCACCAAGAAGCAGGGTTGTACGGCCGCAGCTCTCTCACAGCGCCCAAGCAAAAGCCGTGCGCAGCAAGAGGATCATGCAAACACACCTTGAGTCCTGAGAGTGCGAGCAAACTCAATTGCCCAAACCAGCAACGAAACCGGTACATGTACCGGTATGGTACTGGTACGAGGTAAAGGCAACTGCTATGATTCTGATTCCGTCCAAGACAACGACATTGCCAATTGCCAACTGCAAACCGCTAGAACTGCAGTCCCTACATGTAGTGACAATTATCAGCACGAGGGCAGCAAAGTGGACCCAGCACATTGCCAACTAACTGCTGTTCTAACTGCAGTCCCCAATGCCAATTATCAGCACGATGGGAAGCAAGAAAGCACCAACGGTACCTAGACTACTAGCCAGCTACCAGTACACCAGTACCGTAGATTGCAAAGTTCAAGGATGGTCTCGGCCAAGGCCACCGGTACCTTTCATGGATCTTTGGCGAGTAGGCTCGTGTCCATTGCCGTGGTAAGGTACCGGTAGCATTGTTTCTATTGATTTAGCCGGCATTTCCCAAGGGAGTACTGTACACTGTAGCTATAATAGAAAGAATTCTATCTTCCAGCCACCGGTACCTTGGTGCAAGCAACCTCACCCCTCATCAGCCTCAACCTATCAAAAACCAAGACATGTTGGCGCAACGAAGGGCTGAGCTAATCCGTTGAGGGTTGGCAGCAATAGCTGCAGCAATGCGGCACTGTGGGGTACCGGTACGTCGTACGGCAGCTCACTGCTGGCACAACCAACCAATGCGTCGGATGGAAGACTTAGAAAATGTTTTTAGCTTGCCGTTCCATGACTCCTTGGGACTAACCGGATTTAAGAGTTCCATTGTCATTGGTTTTGTTGAAAAACATCATGACAAAGGCCATTTATTTGACCAATTTGGTGCATGTCCGGAAATAGTGAGAAGCAGTGCCCTTTAACTCCTGAATTACACATTCAAAGTTGAATCACACATAAGTGTCCCACTGTTTATGACTTTCTGTTAACAAGTAAGTAGTTAAAACCTTCTTCCCGTTTTGCAATCAGCCAAACTGGCGGCAGGCTGCCAATGGTTATTGAGATGCCATCAAAATGGCCAAGATTCGGCGACGGACGCCCTTTTTTGTTGCAACTATCTTACTGGCTCAGTATCCATACCGGAAGCTTGAGCATGTACGCAGTGGACCAGAGGGAGCTAGAAATCTAAGGCTGCTAGTGTTACTAGGATTGAGCAAGAAAGTATGTATCCCAGAGCGTCCTTTGTTCTTTGTGGTGGTTGTGATAATATTCTAACTTGGAAGACGAATGATACTTTAGTCTAGTTTTTGTAGCATAAAAGTGATATTCCCTAGGTATTATTGTTATAGTATGTATGTTCTAAGAGGTTGGATGATTGTGTAGGAAGGATGCAGTAAAAATCGGAAGGCTGCAGTCAGCTTAGAATCCAGTGAGTGGCCCAAGCAATTGGTCAATGTAGGTGTTGAAGGGATCATCCAGAGGGAGAGGCTCAAAGGCGGAAGATGAAAGAGATTCCTCTGGGAGAAGTTTTTCGGGGAAATGAGCCATGAGCATGCTGGATAAGCAGTCAATAGGATTTGTCGGTTGGTCGTCCAATGCCATGATATCCCTGGTCAGGTCCGTTAGTGAAGTGTTCACGAGGGAAAAATCGTCCTTGCAGCCCGATGGTTCGAGCTGGTGGCGTGCTTGGTTGTTTTTGATGGTGATACTTTCAATGTCATGAACATGATTGTTTTCTTTCTCCAAGGATGGAACACTGGAAGCAGTTGAGGCAGAAGAAGTGGAAGCAGACGAGTTTCTGCGAGGAGAATTTCCGCTGGCGGCAGCACGCATCATCTTCCTCTTGCGGGCCCGTTGTTTTTTGGACTCTTCTGTGATGGTGGCATCCCGAATGGCGTGTCCTGCCTTTTCCTTGCTTTGAGTGTAGTTCAAGACATACCACACTTTTCGCTTGGTATCTTGCTTGAGAAAGCGGCCCCCGTTCTCTTGGACCAGACGGACAATGGACGTGACAATCTCAGATTTGGTGGCCCTGGAGGTAGCAGTTACATATCCAGGAATGGCTTCGGCCACAATGTCACGAAATTTGCGGTTTCCAACTGAGAAAGAAAAAAGCCAGGGAAGAAAGGAAGATGTAAGTGTGTGGTTCGATCAGAGGAGTTTTGGTTTCCATGTGTAGTGAGAATGAATAAACTTACCATGGTTAAAAGAATTCTTTCCACGGCCACACAACACATCCATGGGCTTGATGTCAACTCCCTCCATGCTTGGCTTGGTTGACTCCATTGGGGCAGAGAAGTTGCTTACTTCAGTATCCAAAAGCTTCATCTTTGTTTGGTTGGTTTGTAGTTGAAGGGTTTGCGGGTTGGAGGCAAGTGGTTTGTGTTTTTCGAAAACTAAAATTGTGAGAACCAGTTGAAGGATTTGATGGGGGTTGTATCGTATTCGCTGTCTACTCTCAAGCCACATTTTCTCTGGATGAGACGCACAAAGAGGCAAGCAAGAACCAGCTACGAAAGTGACTGGGCTAATTATTTTTTAATTAAAGGCTTCTCTATCCTACTACGGAATCTCATACTATTGATAGATTGTGGGTAATGTTTAACGGTGCTAAATTTTGATTCTTTTGTTTTCTTCGCGACAATGATCTCTGATACCGTGGCTGGACTTGCTTCACGGCATTGGTCACGCGTATCACTGGTTGCTAACGAAAGGGCCGATAGCCATATGAAAATGAACCGGTACATCTATCACACGTTTTACACTAGAACAAAGCCTGGCCCATAACGTACTAGCAGTAGTACGCACTCACAACTTACAACTCAATTCCTGCTACAAGAGCTGCTACTAGTACATCGTACAAGGAAATATACCGTACTCAGTATACAGCATATGTCGTATGTGGCAACCTGCGTGAGCATTCAAAGCGCCACCTACCAACACTATTGCCGATATGGTTGTTCAGTTTTTCCTAAGTAATCGTTGCTTCGATAGCTGCCTCTCCACTGATTCCAGTACTATGCCCTTTTATGTACTGGTGTATGGGTGCACGCTACCGGTAACAGACATGCAGATGATTGCGAGTTCTTATATTGCTTCAATACTGCACAGAATTTACTTATCCCCATAAATCGAGCTGTATTTCAGTCACAGCATTGGCACAGTTAATTATTACTCCGGAGTAGTCTTATGGTCATTATCGCCAAAATCTGGCATTGTAGAAGGCATCCAAAGGTGGCCAGATTTAAGATTCGGATGACCTTGATTGATAAGCAATGTCCAATGACGGTCTTGGATCTGAAGAAAATGCTTTGAGGAATTTTATCAACGGCATTGAAGCAGAGGAACATTAGTTTCTCTGTTCACGATGCCACAACTCTAATTAGATGCGTTGAAAATGTTCCAACGGAAACAGAGACTGCTCCTAACTTCATTTCTTAGTGAAAAGACTGCAAAAATGTCAATGATGTCCTTGTGTGATTCGTTTCATCCATGCCTTCCGGACACTTTGGAGACCCCATGAAGAGAAATAAATGGTTAATTCATTGCTTGGTTGGTTGAGTTTCCGAGTAATGAGGATTAAGACGCTATTTGGAAAGTTGAAGAGGGTCGTAAACCATGTATTTCTCACCGGTATTAATTTCAAATTTCTCTGGTTGTTGGAATGTGCCACTGTGCCACCGGTTTCCCAATGACATGTTGCGCACCCATGTTTTCGTCATTGGGTTCTCTGTCTTGGTGAAGGTCTTGTGAGCTTGTGAGCTTGTGAGGTTAAAAGGATCCGGCCACTGAGCGTCTGAACGAATTCCGGAATAGATCTCGTGCTGGGAGCAGTAGCTCCCTTGTCGATTGGGGTTCACGATCTTGGTGATATCTTGGCCCTCCACCGGTTCAGGCTTTTGACAAAAATCGGATCCAAGCTCGCCTATCGATTCTGCTTTGAATCCGTAGTATTCTTTGTGGAAGGGGAACTTCGAGAATGTTGCGCCAACAGGTTTGGTTGCATGTAGCATGTGCCAGGGGCACCAACGAGGTGGAGGCAATCATTTGGCAATTGGGAGCAAAAAACTATAGTATTCCTTGGCACATTGTCTTGCTTCGCTACATGCAATGAAATTGAGACTAAAAAGGAGAAAAAGTACATGTAAACTAGACCTAACTACGATGGATCTTCCTGTCGACCACTAATTGTACTATTAATACAGCTCTACTACAACAACAGTTACTTTGCATCCTTTTGCTGCCCTCAATGGCCCTCATCAATCAAAGATGAGCCGATGAGCCGATGAGCCATCGCCCGAGTGAAATTTTTCGTCACAAATATTGGATCAAAATCCAGATGGAGAAGAGCAGTTAAGACAACACGTACCAGTAATAGCAGTAGCAATAGTGTGGCAGCTGTTTAGCAAGGTGCAATTGCTCCGCAAGGGTTCTCTGAAGGTCTCCAGTGCTCCCTTCTTGAAAATGTAGAACCTGATCCAGCTGTGAATTACTTCGCTGTTGAAGGAACCAAAAGGTTTAAGACTTTTAATGCCTGTGCCTTCCCTTCGGAGCAAGTTCAAGATTATTCCCTTCTAAAAGACTCTTTCTGTCAAATATGATTCCCATGTTTGCGTCAAAGCCGAGTATGACGAAAAGAGTATGGGGAGAATCAGACGCTCGCAGCGTAGATGGGATGCAAGTTTCGGCGATAGGAAGCCCCTGGTTGCTGCATGATGGATCACGCAGCCACCAATGCTACATTAATCTTGGACTAGTCGCGTCATTGTGCATTGTGCCACCGGATCTTGAAATAGTATGGAGTCAGTGTACAGTACCAGCGGTTCTTATTTCCTATGATCCATCCTTACTGGTATCAACAACATGTATGTTTGATCGCCGCAAAGCAAGGGCGCAAGTCCAGGCGAGTCGTCCTTCTGCAGGGTATCCAGCAAGCAACAAATAATGAAGGCTCTATTTCCATCATAAATTTTTGTTCTCAAACATCACATCACCCATCACGACAATAGTAGTGCCAGAAGAATCCTCACCATGTCGGCATCAGAACATCAACAAGAGCAGACAAGCCCCAGGCCCCGCGCTCCCCAGCAAAAACGCCGCCCTCGCAGCAGCCGCAAGGACAGTGACATGGAGTCTTCCACAAGAAGCCAGAAATCAAGTGGGTCTTCTCCCTCGAGTAATACCCGCGACATGCGCCGAACTTCCAGCAAACGGAGACTCGAGACCAATGACCACAGTGAAAGTCCACGACGCCGTCAGCCCAAGCGCAGCGCAGTGCAAAGACGAAGGGTTTCCTTTGAAATGGACGAAAAGAAACGCGTCAAGACACACGTCCGGAGGATTCCCCTCGCCAAGAGCCTCTCCACACAGGAGACTCTTTGGTGGAGCAAGGAGGAGCTAGCAGGGATCATGGAACGAGAGCAGAACGTCTTTGAAGTTTTCTCCAAGTGCTGTACATCCTACGTGGATACAGTGTTGAAACTTTGGGATCAGTGCGAGAACAGTGAGCATCAGCAGCCAAAGTCCTTGTCGGGCGACGAGATTGAAAAACTTGTCAATGCTCCTGCTCGAGGAATGGAAAACGATGTTGTTATCACTCTTCTACCCGGAAGCCGCGACCGAGCCATCAAGAGCGTGATCGAGACACAACATGCCATGGCTGAGGCAGGTTACAAAGTTCGAACAACCACCATGCGACGCCGTTACCGCAATCTTTCAAGGACGGCATCCGAGTTTGCCAAGAACATTGCCGAGGGCGACGCTCAAGTGGCTGCGGCCATCCTTCGTCAATAGATTGATTCATTTGGAGATCAAGGTAGTAGCAACCGTACTGCGACGCTCGCAGTTCGATGATAGAAAAGAACAATATTACTGTACTAGCTTGACTTTCATTATCACTCAGCCTACTGATGCTTCTACGGTACTATTACTAGTAGCTACTATTCGCATTGTCTCTACGTTCAAGGCTACTGGTTCCTTGGCTTCTGGTGCCTTTGGAGGGTTCCGTTTTCTGTTGAAGGTTTCTTCGTTCTGGTTCAGGCGGAAGGTCACTAGCTAGATAGGTGGACCTGGTTCCTGCCAGGCTGCCAGGATCGGAAGCGGAAACTTCCAGCCTAGACTAGTTAGCTCCGACCAGGCAAAGGTGTAACAGCCAGTACAGGAAAAAGAACTGGCACATCCATGCTTTGTTTGGGTCAGTTCGAGTTTCTAAAGGTCCATATTTATTTGTAATGGAGGTCAAGGCTGCGGTTTCGAAAAAGGCTGATGATGTGTTGAAAAGAGTTGCATAGTGTTGTGTTACTACTTGGTAGTTGTTGTTTGGTGGTTGATTTTAGTAATCTGGTAATCTGGTAACTGGATAGTCATAAATCGCTACACAGGTCATTTTCGGTCCCCTCAAAGCTAGAGGGGGATCTATCTCACGCTAGATTGCACTTGGAATGGGAAAACAGACTTCGGAAGTCTGAAACAGGATGTACCCTTGGGGCAAGCCCCTTGGAGGCTCAGACCTGCCGTTCACCAAACGGCCCACCCTATGTCATGTTGCCTTTTTGCAGATTGTTAGTAGAGGACTTTCGAAACCAGTCGCTGTCTCACAGGCCCGTCTGGATCTTCGTCAACATATCCGCCAAATTGCTCTCAGTATTCTCATATGTGATGTTTGCCATGCCTGCAGCGACCCTTTCACGGACATAGTGGTAAGCGACCGAGTTGCTCTTTTTCTTCAAAGTAGACTCCGGATGCTCGAGTTCTTGATCAGGACATGTTGTCCGCCTTGACATGAGCTGGACCATCGAGAGGACTCCCATCATCCTGAGCTTGTACCGCAAGCCCTCCACGATCTCGATTCAACCTTCATCGCCGCGAAATCAGATCCAAAGGAGGAATTTCAATGGAGCCCTGCTTCTTGCTGTACCAAATAAATGGAGACATGTTAGCAAAGACGAGTACACCAGTACGCGAACGACGTGTCACCTTGTCCCAGCATGGTCAGAATCCAACAAACATGGTGATTTGGATTGGTTTTCCGAGAGGCTTCGGCATGTCTGGAGGAAAAGCTCTTTCGCATCGGCATAGAAATCACTCCAGTCAGGTCGCTCTGTTCCACATGATTCACATAGGAGGATCAAAAACAAGGTGAGAACGACTGTGCTGCTTGAGATATGCCAAGATAGAAACACAGCGTCCAGGTGCCCAACTCGTGGGGCTGCACAGTACGAAGCCATGATTGAAACCTCGGTGCAGATGTCAATTCTCCCGAGTTCCACGGCCATCGTAGCACCCAATCTGCTGTTGAAAGTAATTTGTCCACTCGTCATCACAAAGGTTTGAAACATCCAACTCCGGGGTGTAGTTGCTCGTAACACTGAAGTTGCTTTCGACTTGAGCGTCTTCCCACGTCGCTCGAGCCATGTCTCCACATTTCTGACAGCCTCCTTGACATACTGTTCAGATCCCATTGACCAACATGGTTTGTCAACGCCAGGGAGATTGTACTCCTTGACTGAAGCTCCGAGATACTGAGTTGGCTTTCCCAAGGATCCTAGCTTCAGCAGGAAATGCTGATCCAGGTAGCAGAGTAAGTATTTGGGTTAGTTGACAGGCAAAGGAGATCATCTGTGTATACCAAGATATACTCATAGTATTCCCTTCCATCAGCCTGGTGGCGGCACGAAACCAGACATCATTGTCTGCCTTACAAGAGGTGAACCCCAGGTTGTCTCGCAGAACATCAGCTAAGTGGGCCCTCCATGCTGCTCCACTTGATTTGAGGCCATACAGGGCCTTGACGACCTTTGCTTTGCGTCCTCAAATGGGCCAAATTCCTTACCGCATGTGATAAAGATCTTCTCTCGAACTGGGGCATTCAAATATGCATTGCCAATATCAGCTGCCAAGATATCCAAATCGTTCAGTGCTGCAATCAAGAAGGCCAGTCGTACACTCTCGCGACTGACAACGCTGGCGTAAGTGATGGACGAAGGTGGATCGTCATATGCCCCCCAGCAACAGACGTGCCTTCCTTGTAAGTCCTTTTAACATCAAAGACCATATGACAACGGATGTGAGTATGTCCAACTGGATCAGGGGCATCCTCTTCCAAGATCTCAAAAGCTTTGCCGACGGCTGCCATCTCTTTCTTAATGGCATCATGCCAAAAAGTTGTACCAGTTTCCTTGTCAATCTCAAGGGCATGCTCCACCGTTTTGGGAAGCTCAACCCATATTTCTGTTCCTTGCGAAAGTAACGCTTCGCAACAGCAGAGATAATCCGATTCCGCTTCTTGAGGGTGTAAGGGACCCACCAAGAGAAAGCTGGCTCTGACTCCAAGCCATTGTTCTGGGCATACTCTGCCGTCTGAATCAGGTAACCATCTTTCATGTCCTTAAGGGACTGCCATGAGGTGGTTCCATCCTTCCACTGGCACAAAAGTTTCCACCCTTGGTGGTCCGTCGCAAAGTCTTCCTGCCATTCCGATAGATATAGGCGTCGTCCCCTGAAACAGCGTGTCCATCCTTCGCATGGTCCAGGATATCCGCCAATTCAAACAAAGTGTAGCGTCATCATCCACCTGAGCATAGATAGCTCTGCAATGATGTTGGCCGAGTAGGCCTCGGTCTCACACTGTCAAACTCCACCTCATAAAGGAAGTATCAAGCAATAGGTTAGAATTCGAAAGACCAAACAGTTTTCCATCTGAGTTCCTCTTGCGCTTGGTGACTGTGCCAATAAGACATTTGGTCTCCCTGTGGGACACAAACACGAGTTGCAATGTACTTATCGAAGGCCTCATGTTGCATCTCATCCGCTTCTGACAACTCTGGCAGAGGAGCTGGGTCACGATCATCAATTGGCCCATAATACTCTGGTATCTCTTCATCCTGACGAGATTCAGCATCATCCGATAAAGTCTAGGAGCGAGGAACTCTGGATTCCGTCAGAGATAGCTCAACCAGCTATGCTGGCCTACAGCTCCAGCACCCACAGCTGACTTATCTCCAGCCAAAGC